CACGATAACCTACAACCCTCGCGGTTATCGTCAATAATCCGCACAGATAAGCAATAACAACCCCACAGAGAAGGGGGCTCTTCTATTCCAATTCCATGGCTAATAATGTGACAGATGTATACATTTTCACTGCCACCAGGCAACTTCACAGTCGCCAGTTGTTCCTCGTTATAGTTCTCGAAGGCGGGTGTGAGAGATGAGATGAGACTCGGTCCCTCAGGCGTCAATGCTTTTATATCTGCGAATTTCGACAATGATTGTAGCCGGGTCAGTTATCTGGAAGTCTGAAGGGGAGGGGTGAAGCGATCTCGAGGAATGAAGAACCGGGAGGAAGTTGGAGATTGTTATGATATGCTGGGTATTTACCTGCAACAACGTCCGAGAGCTACCCCGAAAGTTAGCATCCTGCCGCGTAATATGAAGAAAAATTAGATGGTATATGAAGATAATTGTTTACTCATACCTCTCCTGGCGGCGCACCTCGAATAAACGAGGATGCAATCTCTAGGTTTGATGGCATGGTGCAGCTACAACTAGTGCTAGAGGAGGGGTGTGCAGAAGCAAACTGAAACAGTAATTTGGGTTAAAATCTCAAAAGAATAACAATTACGTCGGTAGTGAACAGGGTAACGGTCTACTTCACAAGGGAGAAAGATAAATATGCCTTTGTCGGTCATCTTTTGAATCTCCCCGCCCCGTTGCCACTGTGGCGCGCGGGATGGTGAAACGTTTAAAACAGCCGCCAATCATTAAACGCGCTAGCCGCAACCGCCCCAGAAAAGAGGTATGAGGCAGCAGTATATTCTCAAAAATGACCATTTCTAGCCGTCTGACATGATTTAGAAAAATGTCATTCTGTCTTGAGAAGTGGTTGAAACTTAGGTAGCTGATATTTGGGTGGTAATAGCAAATTGTACATGAAAGAACTCAAGAAAAATGTGCATTAAAGATCAGCATGAAAAGGAACACTCGTAAATGAGGATGTCATAAAAAAAAAAAGAAAAATCCCACGCGCCTCCGCTAAATACCCACAGATGTAATAAGCGAAAACCACAGTAGATCCCGAATATGCAGACGAAAATCTCATTGCAATAGAAGGAAAGGGGATAGAAAATGAAAAAGAAAATCGTTAACGACACACAAGAATATAAATTCCCCCAATTCCCCTCCGCGCCCATTCAGTCAATGCTCATATTCATCAGCCCGTCATTCGTTTCATTCATTCCCTGCATCCCAACCCTCTTCATAGTACCACCCTCTCCTCCCCGGCCCGTCTTCCCTGGAGTCGAAGTCACAGGATTCTTCGACTGCTGCTGCGGTAGCTGCCCCTGGCCACCACCTTCCAACCGACTAGTACTGTCCTTACTAAAATATGAAGCTGACGACCCCGACGACGATGGCTGAGACGCCCCAACGGGGCTATTCTGCAAACACATCCCCGGCGACACCGCCCGCCGCTTGAAGGTGTTCATATCGATCATCTCATCGCGTCTGCGTTTGTTGTTTTTGCGCGATGCTTCAGCTTCGACACGTGATGGGCCAGCGGCGTTGGATAGTTGCGAGATGCTGTTGATGGTGGAGGTAGCGTGTTGGCCGGGAGCGATCGGGAATGTGGATGGTGGTGTTTGCATCATTGCGTCGCTGGTAGAGGTGGGGTTGGAGGAGCCAATTAGTTGGTTGGTAGGGGGTGGTGGTGGTGTTTGGTATCGGGTATCAAAGGCACTTAAGCGTCCTAAACCAGTGGCTTGGTGGTTGGTGAAAATGTTTGATGATGATCGCCCTCCCATAGACAGACTGGTGGCAACATCCCTCGCAACATCTATATTATGGGAATCCGACAAGTCCAGCGGGGATGTCAACGATGGGGAAAGCGGAGGTAATTCGCCGCCTTCGCTCTCACGAACCTGCCGGATAACTTCCGCTTCGCGCTGACACTCGAAATCAACAGGGGCAACTTCTTCAAGCAGCGCTGCCCTGATCCGGGCGAAGTTCTTCGTTTTTGGCTTTTGTATGAACATGTTAGCGGATTAAGCCTTTTAGAATAATAATACGGGCCGAACTGTACCAGTAAATTCCCTCTCCTCGTTACCGGGCGTCGAATTACACCATGAGGTCCGCTTTCTATGTTGGTGCCTCCGGGTAATGGAGCACTGGAAGGGCTACCGACCCGTGCTAGCCGACTCTCATCATCGCTCAGGTCTGACAGGTGAAGGTCGCTAGTGCCAAGGCTTAAGCTTTCCCGACGTGACTTGACTTCGCTCATTGACATTTCTCTGGGGAAATAGCCAGTAGCAGAGCTCTCAACGCTTTTTAAGACAGGGGGAGATATTGGGCCTGGGCTGAGTTTCGAGCTATTACCACTATTGCTGCTCGAGCTATGTCTACTCCTACCACTGCGCAGCCGAGCACGTTGGAAGCTCATGAGGCTAGCTTTGGCGGCAGAAAGCCCGCTCATCCAATCGCCACCAGGACTTTGAGCTGTGCTGGGGGAAAACGGCGTTGAAAACGTATTTCCCGGACGAGCCATTTGTGGGGTCAATAGGATCGGATCCTCTCTATCGATGATATGCATGGATTCGTCCTCATCCTCGTCGCCACTGCTAGTAGTATCAGATTCGAACATGTTGACACTACTCACGGAGCTGGATATGACAGTCCGATCACCGTGGCCGTAGGATTGCCATGTACCGCCTGACATGTTTGGAGAACCCATTCCTGTAGAGTTGATGGTGCTTCGACGATTGGGTATAGCTACTCCACGACCAAGAACGACGGGGGAGGAGTCCGGCGACGATTCGGCAAGGGTAGAATGATGTAGGTTCGTGCATGCGCGGGAAAAATCCAGTCCCCTGGACCGTCGTGGTAATACTGAGGCGGGTGAACCGTATATGTGTGAAGAATCCAGTTTTGGGGAGAGGGGAACTCGATGTCCTCCTGCGACAGGGCTCCCAAACATTCTCGACGGCATTTGTAGCAATAGTCCATGCGCAAGGCCATCGGGCCTATGAGGCGTTGCTGGAGCTGCTGTTACAGCCGTATCATCCTTGGTACGTTGGATATTTAGGGGATTCGGTGAAGCGGAGGACAGGGTCCGTGAAGAAGCGTCAGAAAGAGAACGACCTTTCATTGGGGAGCGACTTTTAGCTGGAGTCTCAGTGCCAGACCCCGCAAGTCTAGCTGCACCCTCCAATCCGGTCATCTTTTGTCTAAGCTGCTCCGTCAATTGGCTCCCGGGAGGGGAGTCAGAGGAGACAATGGAGGCACCGTTTTGTGCACTTGTAATAGCGGACATGCTGGTATTTCTGAACAAGAGGGACTCTGGGGCCGCAATCAGAACAGTGAGCTAAGGACATATAGCACTGGGGAAGGTCGTGGGGTTATGATGATGCTTGGTGAACGCTTATCGTCCCAACGCCAAGCGTAAAGGACGGCGTCTGTGGTTTAAGCTTCGATAGAAGAGGTCATGGCTGACGTGTGTAAGCATGGGCGTGAAGCATCATCGAAAGAAAGTTCATAACCCTTTTCAGGCCCTGACAGTCAGGATTGAGAGTTATATCTGCGAGGTGGGAACAATAGATGGGCGTCACTGACTCGGTCTGACAAGCGCAGCGCGGGGAATCTGTGATACGAGCAGGTTGATTGATAGCGGCAAAACACGAGCGGTGCGGGCTTGGCCATCTATGACGAAAATTTAGGATTTATTGGGGTAGTCACGTGTGCCTGGAAGAACCTTGGGAACGATCAAAGGTAAATAACGTAAGGTTCATGTTTTCAGGGGCGTGGTTATGCCTAAATCAGTTACCTAAGGCATTGCTGACTTAGGTGCCCCTGTAGTTAAGAACCTTAACTAGATTTTTTTTAGGGTGCTGAAAATCATTAGTTACCGTATCGTATCGTATCATGGGGAATTACCTTACATGGTTTAGCACCAGGTTTAGCACAACATCACTGCTTTCTGGACTATATAAACTCACTCCTTCACTGCTTAAACATCTTCTCTTCATCATCTCTATTTTCCCTTTCTTTTCTCACAATTCTCTTGTCTTGTGTGTGCCATGTCTATCCCTCTCTCTTGATCTCTACTGCTAGTGTTATCTGGCCCAGCTGTGCAGCCTGTGCTGCAGCTGAAACTGTTTTCAACATAATGATTAATTTGATTATGTTCACTTTTCTCTTTCTCAATGCAATTTCATCTCACTCTACTGTCAAGTTACTCTAAAATCATACACAGGTTGAGATCTGCTGCTGAGATATCTGATCTACTCAGAACTGTAACTGACTGAGATTTTCTGTTCACTTTGTTAATCTCATTTTCTTATCATATATATGACTAGTCATTGCTTTACATTCTATTTTTAGTGTTTTGAGTTCTGTACATCTATTCGATCAATTCTATCAATCTCATTATATCTGTGTCTTGATGCTTTTTATTCTTGATCTCTTTCTTTCATCACTGATCATTAAATCTGATGTTTCTCATCTGTGATGTACAGTACATCATGTACTGTACATCAGTGATGAGCAGTCTCAACTCATTGAGATGATATATCAATGAAAAATACCTCTGTATAACAGAAATAATGTCTGTTTTACTGCACTGCAGATCATTGCATGTGACATGTCAGACTCTGATCAGAGTGCAAGATCTGAAAGATCTGATTGATTGCAAGAGTCATATATTCAGATGAAGAAAAAAATCTCTCTGATGATTCAAGGCTTGTGATGTGATCAATGCATGATATGAATATGATTCAAACTGCTTCAGTGCAGGAAAGTTCTCAGTTATACTCTATTCTCTCTTGATCAGCAGTAAGATACTGAGTTGATAAAGATAAATGTTCACTGAACAAGAGACTTCAATCTCAGTCTTTTGAGGACTAAAATTGATCAGAAGAGAAAGAGATGATGTGACAATGTGATGTGATGTCTGAGTTTTCTCATCTTCATTATCTGCACTTTGATGAATTAATGAACTGATCTGCTATTGAAAATTTGTGTTCATGCTATAAGATCATGCATTGGAGCAGCTATGATTGCATGACAATCATCGAGTACCCCCTCAGTCAGTGCTACAATTTAGGAAATAAAAAGTGAGAGAGGTTATGATCTTCCCTTACTTTCTGTGTGGACAGCGGCTGGTGTTGCAAGGTGGTAGGTGGCACTCATTTTCCTACCTTGTTTTACGCTCGCCATCTCACATCGGAATCCTTACAGAATAGCGAGATACCACTAGGTTATATGTCAGACATGATACAGCCACGGCTCTAACTTCGGTCAATCACATGTGCCTAACGGGGCATGATTAAATTGAGGCTGGTATTTGAGCCCGTGGCTACCCTCGCTTCAACCGGAAGCTTTTACTGTCGCAAATTCCTGTTACGGCTCTACCAAGGGAGATTATTGAGATCTCGCCGCGAAAGTCGAAAATGGTGGATCCTTTGAGCATTGCTGCCTCGGTGCTGACTGTTATTACAGCTGCCGTTCAGTCGACGAAGTCGCTATATGAAACCGTCAAACACTTCAAAGAGCGCGACAAAACTTTACGTAGGCTTCAAGATGAGCTCGAGGATCTCGCCAATATTTTGGAATCGTTGACACAAGTGGCCAATGCTGAGATGGCAATGTTGGCGCTTCTTCAAGTTCCTGTTGATCGATGGAGCCAAGTATGCCGCCAGTTTGTCCCCCTCGACCCATTGAAAGAGTCATATCCCCTCCCAAAGTAAACTTCGTTCCCCCCATCCTCACTGGAGGCGTCGAAGCCACTATATAAAGACTTATGGTGGCTGGAGAGAGTTTTGATGACTGGTGCCTGTGTCCCGGGCAATACATCCCATAAAGCTGACATGTTGAATGCTCCATCACTGAAGTTGTACTTACAGTTGAGTTTGAGATTGACTTCCATATCTAGCTGTGTCAAATCTTGTTTCCAAACCCTAATTCTGTATGTGTAGCTGTATACGGCTATAGATCTTATGCTACTTAGTAACTTGTTTCGAAAAATAATTCATTAAGGTATGTATGTATGTACAATACATGAATGACAGAGACTCCTGCAAGATTCGGTGCAAACGATGTAAACATCATCAACCTTTGAATCTAGCAGTCTGTCAACAGGACCTACTCCTCCACATCCTCCATCGACCTTTACCTCTCTAATTAATAGGCCTCTACCCGTGACTCCTATACTGGCTCACGCCTGTCGGGATATTCCGTCGTACCATTGATCCGCCATCGGCTCGGCTCCTTGGTGTCCATCGAGCCATTGCAAAGATTATGAAACTTGGCGAATATATGTTTCCGAGACCTGGAGGAGGTTAGTGTGATGGCAGGTGGTTTCAACACCCTTAGGGTATATGATGAATTTACGACTTGGCAGCTGGGTTAACGCATTGACTGTATCTTAATTGCATGTATTTTCTAGCCATTCTTTCCTAGTCAATCAACATCCAGACCTGCGTGTCGAAAATGCCCTTTCGCGCTCTGTGCCCTTGCACCTACGACATGCACACATCACTCAAGGAAGGCTTCAAATCCTTGATCGGGATTATCTTCGTAGGATCGCCAGTGTCGTCGAATAAAGGCTTTCAACTCGTCAAGGAGCCTGGAAGACTGGAAGGAGGAAGAAAGAAGGGTCAGGTTTAATAGCAGTACAGTACAACAAGGCAACAAAGTAGCCAGCTATATAGCTACGGCGGACGCTGAAGAAACCCGGCATTTGAGAATATTGCTCCCGAGAACCCCAGCTGGCCAACAACCTGAGCTAACCTACCCCCACCCATTCTCTTAACCGAGCGCGATAGAAGAAAGTGACTCAAAGTTGACACGGAGAAAAGACATTGGCCAAGTGTCAACCCCTTGATATATATGAGCTCCCGAGATGTAAATTGAACATAAGTAGCTTAGCTCGAGCCCTAACTACATAGCCACTAGGCTGAAAAGGGAATAGATTCTCTCTCAAGTTCTCAGCGAACTCCTAATAAGTCTTGTGTCTCCGTTCGCCCATCGCCATTCTGCTCGAGATTGGCCATTGTATTTGTCTCGCCTTGATGTGTTTGAACGTAGTTGGATTGTTGCGGGCCCGCGCTCGACGTGCCTGCGTTTGTTGGATTGGATCGGATTGGCGACTAATCGGACTAGTTAAATAATGTTTGCGTCTTTTCTTACGCAACATTCGCGGATTTGCAGCAAGCTGTTGACTTTCCTCCTTCAATAGCGACGTAAAGCTTGAGCCCTGTAGGTTGACGCCTCCAATTTCCTGGGAGAGACTAGTATTTTCCCTAACCGAAACGGAACACTGTTATACACAAGAGGATCTGTGACCTGATCAACAACAGCAGAGTCTAGCTGCACGTCCCGGGACAGCCTAGACTATGACAGGGCGAGTACTCTGAAAGACAAGTATATTCATTTAGCAGAGACAAAAACATTGGATCAGAATTTTCTCCTGGGTATCCAGAATGGTACACCCTACCACATCAATCAAGACCACAAATTGAGAAAATGGCCTGATGAAGAAGGAGACTTGCAAGATGAAAATAACTACATGACAGCACTGACTCTGACATGAGCATATATTCTTTCTAGTGTCTGGGCAGAATCTCAGGATGGTGGAATGATATATACGGATGAGAAGGCGCCAGTCATTTCAATACATAACCATGTGGACAGTGAAAGTCTCACAGTATGCAGAGATGAATCAGCAGCCCTGAGATGGTGAGCAGCAGTTCTTGCTCCTGAGCAAGGTTGGACAGTCTCAATAAGTGTGGACGTGGACAGTGTTGAATATCAATCACCATGATCGTCCACCTTAACAGCAAAGTTGCATTCACTGTTAGAGGACCCTCTATACTCACCAATGCAAAATGCTCTGTGTCATCTCAAGCCTTCACATATCTATCAGACTTTTGCCACCGTCACAACCTTGAGAATCAGGCCAAAGCAGGCCTCGGAGCAGCTCTAACATTTCCATCACCTCTACCAGCTTCAATTCATTTACAGCCAGTTCCAGACAAAACCAACATCTCCCAACCACCAAAGCCAAGTCTTGAAGATTCCTTCTCAGTGATGACAAACCTGATGACAATAAGTTCAGCTGTTACCGGGTTGACTGCAACTCTGTGTAGTATCTTCTGTGAACTCTCAATTCCATACAATCTATACAGTGAGTGGCTAGAACCTCTTTTTGCAATATCCTCAGCTCTAACAATACACCATCTTACAGCAATGTGTATACTCCGGAGCCTGTCAATTGGAGGCTGGTGGCTAGCAAGCACAATCACTGGCTTTTACTCAAAGAAGTTCGAAGTGGCACACCTTTTGTGAACTTGCCCTCGTGGTGGTGGACCCAATTGCCCCAGTCTTACATTTGCATCCCATGTCCAGATCCCGTCGATGAAACTAGAGCCTTCATCTCCCGCCAGAAAGAGACGACTTTGCTTGTCTGTCCCGAAAGACATGGAACTACATGCCACCTTGGAAGCCTCATGGGAGAGTCATAATAGACGATACTCACATAGTGGTCCAAGAACATTCTCATTGTACGGGACATTACATCTCCTACAAATCATGGTCATGGTTGTGTGCAGATGGTCGTTCTGTCATGGACCTAGGTTATTCGTCCCAACATAGTGTCCCAGCCGCCTATGGTAGGCCATTGTGTTTACGAAGTCAAAAGGCAGTTGGAATAGGAAAAATGTCACAGGATGCTTCAAAAAGCTATTCTCGAATGGTCTTCTAGGGCCTGGGGGCAAGGGATCGCCGCTCACAATCGAATGTTATATCAATCTCTGACAAAGTGGATAGGTATGACTCCGGGAGATATCGATGAAAGTGATGTGGAATCTCATGATCCTGAAGGCAGATCAAACGATATGGGAGGTATTCAAGACTGGCTTGCTAATACGCGCGAGGGATATACTTTAAATGGCAACTCACTTCCAAGCTACGACACGGTGATGACCTCCTGACAAACCATATCATCCAGCCCCCAGTTTTCCTCCATAGCCCCCGGACCACTGTTGTCTCACGCGGTTAAGTCGGTGTAATTACTCCAGCCTGACCCGGCATTCCCATCCCCCGATTGTACCCATGCAGCCATCCAGTAAAGATCGGGGCATTGTTTGCAGATGGTTCTAGCGCCCGGTTCGTCCTGATGAGCTAAAGACTGACACGCTTTCCACTTCTTGCGACATCCTTTCACCGGTCACAACTCATACTTGTGCTCGTTGTTTGGTGGCGGCATCCAGCGACAGTGTACCAACCCGCAGCACCGGAACTATGAGTCATCGTGCGATAATTCTCAATCGAGCGATTTGGAAACTATTGTCTGTCTCCCAAGTTAGACATGCCTGCTGAAAGCGGTTCTTGTTGTAAACTAAAGGATAATTACTCACTGTTCATTGAAACGCTATGCGGTTGTTGAAAAAGTTAATCGGATAACTTGTAGACATGCCCGGCTGAAATTATCAAGAGGCTTGGGGATGGTTCTTCGTCCAGGAATCAGTACACATTCTGCGGGGCAGTTCAGCATGGACGAGGTCCCCCAGAGGCCTTCCCTTGCCCTCTTTTGGCAGCTCGTACTTGCGGCCCCACCCACTATCCCCAATAACTAGTGGGTTTGGTAACCACCACTATGCACCACTGTGCCAATTCTTGCATTTTCCTTCATCATCCATGTGTTTATCATCTATATCAAGATGATTGAAAGATTGAAAGAGATTGAAAAACATATAGAAGCTGTTATAGAATTTCAATGAAAGATTCTCTGATCTCAGATGAACTGTTCTTGCTTATTAATTCAATAATTCTCTAGTTATAGTAGTTATCTCTTAAAGAGTATTTATCTGAGATGAGCTTCTCAACTATTTTTTTTCTCAGTATATCAGCTCTTCTTGATGAGTTTGAAGAGTTTTTATGAGTAAGTTCATCAGAAAAATATGTCATTTGAATAATAGAAAAAAATGAAGAGAGTAACTAGTATAAGAAGACTGAAAAGAAGTAGTGTAAATAAGTGTGTATGAAGACAGCAGAGACAGTATTCACTGAGAGTGAACTAAGAAAATGCTTCAAAGAATCAGAAGATATTGAATTTATACATTGTGAGAAGCAGAGTATCATCATTCTACAACAATACTGAGAATTGATAGTTTATAGATATAACATTGTACTTATTGCTGTCTCTGAGATACGTGAGATGTGTTATTGTTATTGAAATAGAAGCAGCATCCATGGATAGGTTTCGCGTCATGTGGCCAGGAATGGGCTTAAAACAGTGTTGAAAATGGGGATGCTATGAGTGGCCGCAGCCTCCATCTTACAGACTATAGAGGTAGATACATAAACTACAGCATCATAAACACACAGATATCTACAATGGATTCCATTATCTCCCTAATCTCCTCAAGCATAGCCCTCTTCGTCTTCTCAGCCTCCCTCTCCCTCCACCATCACATTCATGTCCGCAAACCTCTATCTTCCTAAAATCAAATAACTACCCCTACGCTCCCCGCCCCCGCTTCCCTGCTATTCTTCATCGTCCTTGTCTGCTCCTTTGAGTCATTCGAGCCATTATCCGGCTTCGGCGTTGAGCGTCTCCTGTATCGCGTTGGCACGTATGTGCGCACCCACGATGAGCAGATGAGGTACATATTCCATCCCTCGAAGATATAAGAGTATATCGATATACTTCTCGTTTTCGCTACGGGAGGGCGCATTGGGTGGCATTTTGATTTTCATCATTTGACAGTGAGATACGGGGCCAGGGAATGATGCAAAATGAGGGTATTGAATATAGATAGATTTCCGAGATATATCTGGTTATTGATAGATGACATGATTGGAATTCGATCTTTGGCTAATCGGACGAAATGGGGTAAATGATAGAGTAAAGTAAGATGCTTCGTGAGAAAAAAAATCCGAGAATCCTTAAATATATGACCTCCCCAAGAAAATTGGTTCGCGGTCGCGATCAAGCGCCCTGTAGTCAGTAGTAAGTAAATGCCCATATATATATACAAAATGAAAAACATCTATACGACTCCCGAAGAAAAAGGAACCTGTCCTGTCTATTCACATGAATACGTGATTATTAAGCTCGCCCTGTTTCCATTCCTCGCATCTGATACCCATCATCACCGTACTCCCCGTTTGGCCCTCGAGCAACTCTACCGCTGAACAAACGCTCTTCCTCATCTCGCGCAACCCTATGAAAGCCTTCTGGTGGTATTTCCGACCTACTGTATGGAGTATCACAGTGTACTGACTGCAAAGGCGGATAATAGCGTCGGTAGGTGAAGTATGCAACTGATATTCCTAGTAATGAGCCAACCGCCACGTCATACACATCATGTCGATAGTCTGCTAATCGAGACATGGCGATCAACAGAGCCCCTAATAAAGGGGAAAGGGAGAATAGGAAGCGAGCTAAGCCTGTTCGAGGTTGGAATACATGTAATTGTCCTGCAAAAAATCTACCGTACAAGGCGCGCGTCAGTAATAATGTTCCTTTTTACTGTTCTAAACGAGACCTCATTCTTAAAATGTAAAAACAGGATACTTACATGGCAAGATATCCTAACCCCGCAAAAGCAAAACTGCTATGTCCGCTCGGGAAACTTCTCCATCCCTCATGCAGTCGATGGGACTCCGGCGCTCCGCACACTTCAATGGTAACCATCTTATGTGCCGGCGTGCCTTTTTCCGGGCTGCAGCGCGAGAGCAAATCGGGACGTGGCCTACCCACCGCATTCTTTATTATATCGGTTAGGAAGGAAGTAAGAGCAAGAGTGACGAGGAGCCCAAGCACGGATACATGCGTGAAGTGGGTTTCTGGCCGAATGATCACCGCCCACACGATTATGATGATCAATGGCATCACTCCCGCATAAATAATTGACCATACTGTATTTCGAGACTGTTTTATTAGCCAGCGTATCAGAAACCTACTGTGGGCCACCACCGCCTTAATTGGGGTGGTGGTTCCTGCTGAGCACATGAAATTGTTGAACTCACAAACTGGAACCCGCTCCACCTCCGCAAATGGGAATTGTATAGAAACATTATCCAACGTAAACATGCGGTAAAAGGGTCGTACGAATATTTGGATCTGTTGATACCTTTTCAATTAGTATATATAATAGTAACAATAACTTGTTAGGATCAACAAAAAGGCAGCTAACCAAGATCCATCCCACGACGAGCACGATCAAGCTCACATAGTCCGCGGCATACGACCGGAGCCAGAAGCGCGCCAGGGCACCCAGAACCCCAGGCCGGCTCGCGATAGCCGATAGAGATTTGTTCCTTTGAAGCAGGTCATCTTCTGACATTTCTTTTATCAAGGCGTTCAAACAAGTACTCGTTGGTGGAATGCGAGGTTGTGAATTCTAGAAGAGGATTGCTCCACGACCATAATCTCAGCGAATGGGAGATTCTTCCGGCTCCAAAAGGCAGAAAAATATTCCAATCGGTTAATTGTCTGTCTATTCTTGTCGTACTGCTGCTGTCTGGGATTCTGCATATAGCGAACGTCGCGCGTTCGTAAGTGAGCGCGCGGTCAGAATTACCTATTTGGGGATATTTGCTGCCTTGGCTCGTTTGGCGTTGGAGTTCATAAATACGATATTTAACTAGTTATTTAACTATAATAACTAACTACTGTATTTAACGGATGGTAATAATAATCGCTAGCAAGCTAAATACATGAAGATTCAACTCATGTGTATCAGAAATACTTTAAATAAAATCATTTAAATATGTATGGATATTTCCCACTTGAGGAGAAATATTTACTTTTCTTTTCGGTCTATGGGGAGATCCTCATGTATTTATATCAACCACCCGCTTGTAATGACGCCGCCAGCCTTCTCGACACCAAGCAACCACCCAACACCCGCAAAAATAGACAGAACCTTGCGGCAGACTTCAGACATCCATGCATGCATTACATTAAGCTTCTCTTTGGTATGACTCTCCTCTAGAGCGCTTCTCGAATGTTGTATGTACATGGTGTGAAAAAGTAGACATTCGGTTTTTATATCCACTGGCTTCTCATTGTTACCTGTACCAGCTAGTAGACTGACTTTCAACACACAAATATAAGGTCAGTCACCTCAGTTGTGTCTGCCTCCTCATTGTGCGATCGGGCAGGCTCACAATCAAGTTAGCCCTGTCTGAAATAATTTTGGCCCCCGCACCGGCTCGGACGCTACATGAGGCGGTCGAAGAAGTCCCACCTCACCTAGTCTCAGCCTCGTCTGAAGGGCTACGCTGTATGTTGACCTGATTGTCCCCTGCTTCGGGCAGGCGGGCAGGCGGGCATCAAGCCCCCAAAGGGCGGGCCCGACCTTGCTGCCCCTCCATTTGCACTATGCATTTCCCCTCCAAATGGCCTCTGTTCCGTCGTGGCAGACATGTTCGGCTGCAAAAAATGCTACATTATCACTTCACAATATAACACAACATGACGATTACCTACGCGGAACAAGCCTACCGAGAGGCTTTGAAAACCTTCGAGGAGAACCTGAACTCGCAGCAACTGCGTGATGTGCAACGTCCCACCTCGCTGACCGAACTATGCAAGACTGCGGCGTCGATCAACGCAAAACATGCCTCAAATGATGACCGCAAGACGATACGCTTCACTCAGCGTGTCAGTAAAGTGCTTGGTGTGCTTCAACCCTTCGATGGCATTTTGAGCAGTGTCGCTGGTGCGGAACCGTTCGGTGGTGCAAATTTGATATGGAGCTCTATCCGCTTTACTTTCCAGCTCGTTGAGGATGCGCAGAGTATTTTCGACAGTGTATTTGGGTTCTTCGAAGACATCGCGCTCGAGCTAGAAATTATTCAAAAGGAGATTAATACATTCAAGGACTCACAGTTAGTGTCCAGCGTCGGGCAGCAAGTATTTGCGGCGTTGCTGGACTTTTGGGTCTATGCGGTTAAAACGTATAGAAATTTACGGTTTGGGTCATTCTCTATCAAGTCGTATTCTATCAAAAGCAAATTTGAACAGTTGCAGAGCAAGCTGCAGGAGCAAACTGTGCTGTTGAAGAGTGCAGCGCAGGCACAGCACCATGAAAATTCAAGCCAGTTCTGGAATGCATTTCAGCAGTCGCATCGGGGTAACTCCCTTTACCCTTTCCTTCATATATCCTTACTCTATGCATGGACATGCTAATATGTATACAATTCTATAGAAAATTCTGACCAGCGCGTGTTTGATTGGCTTAAAGCCCCGGACTATGCTACTGATTTGAAGAAGGCAAACTCGAGACGACATGATGGCACCTGTGTATGGGTTATGACCAGACCTGAATACAAATTATGGTCGGCTTCTTCCTCCGACACGCGGTTCCTAGTGATTTATGGCATTCCCGGGGCGGGTAAGACAATCTTGAGCTCATTCCTGGTTGAATGGGCTAGGCGAACTTTCCGGAGCGGTACGGATCACAGGAAACCTTGCCTGACACTCTACCATTTCTTCAAGGCAGATGACGAGACCAAAAATACGCCCTTGGCCGCTCTGAGATCTCTCCTCGAACAACTCTATAGCTTTGTGCTGGAGAATAATATTGAAAACCTGCGAACGACATTGCAGAACACCGCCCGTAAACGCCAAGTTGATTACGAGGAGATGTTGGCTGTATTTGCTAGTTCGATCCAACATTCTGGCTGCACATTTACTATCGTCCTCGACGCCCTTGATGAGTGTAGAGGTGTCAAGTCACTCTGCAAGGACCTGAAGGCACTAGTTTCACATCCAGACATACATGTCGTTGCGACCAGTCGGAGGACTGGCGAGCACGTGGATGTCATCAGTGGACCAAAGACGATGACTATCCTCATGACGGAAGATGATGTGAGACGAGACATTGCCTCTTTTGTTCGGTACAAGGTGAACAAAATGCCAAATCTACAATCCCCAGCTCACCGCCGTCTCAAAGGCCTAGTCATCGATGAGCTGTCCAAGAAAGAAAACCACAAGGGCATGTTCCTCTGGGCATACCTGATGTGCAAAGATATTAAAATGCAAGGTAGCGTGGCTAAAATCCGTCAAGCCCTTCTGCGACTACCGAGCGATATGGTAGCGCTCTACCTGAAGATATTGGAGGGCTTGAACGAGAAGCCTGTTGCGGAACAGGACTTTGTACAACGGGTGTTTCAGTGGGTAGTGGGAAGTATTCGACCTTTGCGCTGGTGTGAACTAGATCAGGCACTGCAGATCGATCAGTTCCGAGCTGCCACTTTCGAGGACGACGATGACTATGATGAGGCCTATATTTATTCCCGTAGAGATGTGGTAAAGGCATGTGGCTCGCTGGTGCAATATTCAGGGTTGGACGATGGAGACACTATTCGCTTAATACATCTGTCGGCAAGGGAATTTTTGCAGCGTCAAATAGCGCAGTCCATTCCTATCCCGCCCAATCTCACGAAGTACTTCGTCGAAGTGACCACTTCTAATGCAGTTTTAGCAACAGCATGCCTAAATGTTCTGCATGCGCCCTCTGTACAGAACGATACCTATTTCCGAACTCCCAAATCTCACGATATTAGAACGGAACTTATGAATATGTGTCCCCTCTTTGAATACGCAGTATTATACTGGCCGGAATTTGCGTGTGCATTTGCTGAGGCTGTAATTGCCGGGGAAAATGATTTCAAACAACCAGAAGATCTTTTTGAACTCTTAGCTCTCATCCTCGATGGGCCTTGGAGCCTTTGCTGGCTCGAGGAATATATTCGTCTTGGTGGTATCGATATTGCAATGTACACGGTGGAGAGGATCCAAAACCTCGACGAAAGTATCTCTCGCAAAGGGTGCTCATCCTCATTCACCCCACAACAGTGGGCTGCGCATGTTGTACATGCCTTACACACTTTTTCAGAGACTATTTCCCATTCCCCTGAATGCATCCATACCTGCGTAGAGGCACCCGGACGCCATGTCTCTCTAGCAACCGGCCGCAAACCCCAGCACCTAATTACTCTAGGTACTTCGACCAGGGATCTACCAAAGAAGCAACCACTCCCGAAGGGTGAGCGTGGGTGGATCGGATATAATCACAAGTCCAGATCAGTATTCCTAGCTGAGAAAGAGCATGAGACCATTCGTGTGAGTCGCCGCCATCTCGATGGAGCTACTGCTTATCGACCAGCCCTAGAAAATGGAGAAGAGAGCTATCAGGGTACCTGGAAGGTTCGCTCTGCTCAACTGAAACAAGATGCGACATTCCTCGCGGTGACGTTTTGTCCGCATGCGCAGGAGGAGCTTTTCTACCGCACAGTGTGCTGGAGCTTGTCTAGCCCAAAGCAAGTCTCCGTCACCGCCGATTGGGCCCAGGTTATTATTGTTGACCGCTGCGAATCCGAAATATTTTGCGCTGGTCCTGTGCTCGGACGGGGAAGCCTCGTTGCATTCGGTGAAAATAACTTGTTAATTACCCCAGGCGGAATTTGGGATTTGGCATCGGAGGATAGGCTGTCTTCACCCAAGGAGATCTGGAACCCGGAAAATCCAGAATTGATATCGCAGACTTGCTTCAGTTCGACTCGAGCAGCAAGGGTCCGCGATCGTCGATGCCTGGATATCCTGGAGATATTCGGCTCTGAGAAGTGGAATGCTGGTGATCTTACGGCGACCTTCCAATTCTCCATTGAAGAACGTATCGCAGAGAGCTGGGCCAGAATCCGAATCCGTTCTTTCAGCCGCTCGGGAGCCAAACTACTGCTGACGTTCTACGAGAACAAAGAGCCAAATTCAGATCCTGACTCCCGCCAGGAGTTGCAACCGAGAATTGTTTGCATCATTTTGGACGGCAAAGGCCCAACGACGGGTACGCAGGTTGATTTCCCTATTCATTCTGGCACTGCACTGTTGGAATGTCAGTTCACAGACGACGAAGAAAGGATTGTGGGTAGGCTGCAGCCACCCGATGACGACATAAATGCTGGCGGAGGAATCTCCATTGTTGTGTGGGGCTTACAGAAGAAGGGGGCCAAATACGACGAATCTGTGCAATATCTCTTCCTTTGGAAGTCTTTTGGGGATGTCTCCTTTACGATAACGCCGCCGATCTCAGCAGAGCCCAAGGGTGGGATACTGATTGCCTTTTCAGATGGCAGCGTAGCGCGCCGCTCAGTGTCGGATATCTGGTCGTCAGCGGAGGAAGCCAAGTTGCGCACCTCCCGGCATGCGCTGGAGGCTAGAGGAAAGGTGTTGAATTACATCACTCCTGACGGAGCTAACCTTTTTGCCATATTCTTAACTGGTTTCCTGTTCGTTCTCGTTCCCTTCCCTTCCTCTGTAATCTTGTAATGTCTCCGCTAACACTTATGTCAAATAGAGGATCTACCCCAGCCTTGACGGTTGAAGTTTGGAGCTTAACTGAAGAGCAACAGCTATCATGTCCCGTCGTCAATCGTCAACTCGAACCCGGTTTAGAAAATAACTCGCTCGATTCAAACGGCCGCTTTTTGCTCGGAAAGTCCGAGATTTTCGACCTCAGCGACCCGGCATCCCCACAGCCCCTCCTCTTCCAACTATCCAACGGTGGCGATGCTAAGGCCGCATTTTGCCCCAACCAGCCTATCTTCGCATACACGCATGCAGAAGATGGTGGCGTCATATTGCGGCTTTATGAGGGGAAGGCGGACAGAAGCTGCCAGCTTCTCCTTACTCATCGCATCGTGTCTGAACATGGGCTGGATCCGCAGGACATCAAAGTTGCTTTTGATAGTAGTCATTCTCCCCCACGTGTGTTTGCTTATTCCTACTGGACAGTGATTGGCCAAAATATGACATTTGTCGTGACTATCGAAGAAGACGGTGATGTGAATCCCGAGTTAATTTCAGAAGGTAAACAATTCCACCCATACTAACCACATGTATTTCCCATTTCCCCACCAAATATATACCTCTGCTGCCTATGTGCTAACCTTCTGAGTCTTGATACAGAATACATGGCCGACCTCACCTTCTCTGTGGACGGAAAATACATATTCAGCGTTGACCGACAAGTGCCTCCCGAGGATCTTCAATGGCCCACCCCTGTCCCCATTTCCCCCCTCCCTACAACACCACCCACTGCCAGGCTAAGTGAGCTCTCCCTCTCCCTCTCCCTCTCTATCCTCGACACACATCCCGTCACCTTAGAGCGCGACTACTGCTTCATGGACCCGGTCCTGATCTACCGCATATCTCAAGAAGAGCGACTGGGCACTGTGTATCTCGACGTCAAACGCATTCACGAACCCGCTACCACGACAAACTATTTCCGCAAGGCCTTGGGTATCGTCCCAGACGACTACTTGAATCGCTTGCTTGATAAGGTATTCCTAGTGTGGCCAAGGGGTAGTGCGGAAGAAGTAAAAATGGTGGTCGTGCCGGGAGGGAGGAATGGGATGCCGATGATTATTCGGTCGGGGATGAGTAGTGGTGAGTTGGTCGGCATGGTGGAGAAAGCGATGCGGTAGGGTAGTCATGGAGTATGAAAGTGTTTTCATTCCTAGCATTGGTGGGGAGGGCCCTTGGAGGAGCAGCCGGCTGCCGAGGAGACTATTGCGGGGCGGGTTGCTTAGATCATACATCATTTAAAACTGGCTTGACCTGCGTAGTAGAATTCTTTAATCGATTTACTTTCAATGGCATAGTATGATCTCCTGATTTATTTCGCAAAATCGAAATCATTACTTTGACATTCAGTTCTCGTGGCGGGTGTATCTAGCTCTGGGCCCAGAGGCCAGAAGCTTGGATCCGAAAAACGGCTAGCCCGATCTAGCGCGCAAGCTCCACTAACTACATAAACGCGACAATCAGAATTGAAAATTGAAGCAACGTACAGGACTCCGAACTCCAAGAAAGATCTAGCCGTACTCTTCTTTGGCCTCCATTGGATCCTCCGAGTTTCTTCTGCCAGCTTCAACACATATAGGGAATTAGAATCTCACATTTACAATATGGCGGAAGCCGACCAACAAAAAGTGACCGCCGCATTCCCGCCTCCGCCACCATTCTGGAAGCATTTCACATCGCAGAATCTGAAGAAGCTGGATGACTGCAAGAAAGAACACGAGAAAAATCTTGGTCCGAAGCAGACTTGGACACCTGAAGCTCTTCGCACGCTTGAACTGCCACCGGAGCTACGATTTCTTGTCCCGCCCCAAGCCCCAACATCAGGTTCATACTCGATATTCGGCGAGTCGCAATCGGTATATATACTCTCTATACATACCTATTCTAGCCTCAGGTTTTCTGTCATAATCTAGTTATTGGAACTAAATTTGTGCGTTAATTGTGCCTTATATAGGTCTCAATAAATCTTCCCTCATTACAAGATCAAGGCATCGAGCAACTCTATCCCTCCCCGCCCGCAGGCCAAGAACATGCTTTACCTGCCAACCACCGATTCTATCTTCTAAAAATCAGCAAATCCCTCCTTCTCAACTTCCTTGAGTTTATCGGTATACTCGCACTCTGTCCAGAGCGATTCGAGTCCAAAGTACAAGACATACGAAACCTGTTTATCAATGCGCACCACCTGTTGAACTTGTATCGGCCCCATCAGGCACGAGAGTCCTTGATAATGATGATGGAGGAGCAACTGGAGAAAACCAAAGAAGAAATCAGCGAAATGGACAGGGTTAAGGAGAAGGTCCAGGGCTTTCTTGAGCAGCTGGAGGCTGAGGGTACGAATATTGGCAGGACTGGCCCTGTGGATTCCGACATGTTTCTTAAGAAGCGCGAAATTACAGCCGAGGAGGAGGTCATAGAAGAGGCTAGGTCTATGTGGAATTTACTTGACAAAATCGATGAAGATTGAGATACAATTCATGAAGATATATGAGAAATATATGACGATCGGCTAAGCCCGAGCGCATCAAGAACCAGGGCCGCGCTCAATCCCCGCAGCGAATAAAGCCATTTTGGCACCCGCTCTACAGGAACTGCTGGAACATTGCTGCACCGGATTCCGTGGGGTTTGCGCGGGTATTTGGATTACTGGCACACGTACGGCCTCGAGTTTATGCGATCCAATGGTGTATGCGCTGACAAGCTCGAAATTATGGGTCCATGCATAATGCTCTGATTAGAAGTCTACTAATACGTTTGACTTTCTCTCAGTTTCAGAGTTTTTATTTTCCTTTTTGATCCTGCTAGCTGCGGTATACTCTGAGCTACAAAGTATGATGTTTGGAACGCAAATTAATGTGGTGTGGGTGACGGGGATCAGTTATTGAGGCAACCAGTTTCAGTTTCTGCGCTCCGGTAAATTTTTATCTTTGATGGTTCGTAGACAACTCCAGTATGAAACAGCAATTGGATAATGGGTGTCCTCATAATTCTTAGTTACTGATGTGTATATATAGTAATATTCCTCAGGATCTCCCGAATAAAGCAGTTAACTGTGTTTCCCTTTATTTCTAACTGCGTATCGTCTGTGAGGGCTTTTTGCTTACAGTCGCCGAACCTAGGCCGGCCCCGTAGTAAATTCCTCGCTACCAGGGAGATCCGGCTTGGCTAGTTGGCTCATTGCCGCAGAGCCCTTATCCGGAAGTTCGGGGTTACCTTAGGGGGCTTAGTGCCTTAACATTTGATTGACCAGTTAGGTGCAAGCCCTGTATTTTAATAGGGACAAAGGCCCTGCAATTGGGTTCGGTATTGTTCGGGCTCCGGTATTAGTACTGAATTTCCACTTAGCTCCAACCCCGTATGCGCGGCCAGACCCCACCCAAAGATCCATAAATATCAAGCTCACGGACCTAGAAACTCCTTTTTTTTACCATCAGAAAGACCTCTGCGTGTACGTTTTATCAAAAAAGGTTCTACAAGGAGAAAGTGTAGGGTCGACATCGCCGGTTGTTGGAAGCTGAGGGAGGTATGTCTAGCGGCTATTTACCAGTCGACGGTGACAACTTCGACAAAGGCACAGTTCAGGGAGGTCACCACCACGATAAAGAGGACAGCGACGACGAGGAAGGGGAAGGGCTGAGCGATAATGACAATGAAGACTCCTTCTATAGGAGAGATAGCATCCGGTTCGATCGGGATTCCTACGGGTTAGGTTCTCGAATCGCAGACTTCGCTATCGATGGCGGAGACCACCTCGATCATGGGAAGACGGTACGCGGATTATTACCAATCTATATTTACTTTAAATCATTCATTTAAGCTCATGATATATTTGCGATTAGGAACTCACTGGCTGGGCGTCGATGTGGTTCGTATCTCTCTCTCCTCCGCTTCCTTGATCTACAGTACCTCTGGACGACCGTAACAACCATATCTAATCTCCCTGATACGAAAGGCTGGCATATCAGTCGATAGGTGCAATTTACGGTGACATTGGCACCAGCCCGCTCTATGTTTTCTCCTCGACGTTTCCAACAGCCCCGCTGCTCGATGACCTCCTCGGAGTATTATCCCTCATAGTCTGGGCACTGATACTGATTGCGACGATTAAATACGTCGGGATCGTTCTCTGTGCGAACGATAAGGGTGAAGGGGGCTCTTTTGCCCTCTTCTCACTCATACGACGTTATGTTAGTTCTTAGATTCGGAACATGGTCCTCAGAGTAAGGAAATCGGGATGTCAGGCTAACGTGTATATATACATTGTATATATATATTGTAAGCGTAGGTCGATATTGATAACCAGAACCGGGATGCATCAGACTTCACTGTAAATGGCGACGAGAAACCGCTACGCCCGTTTAATCTAAAAGCTATGAAGGTGTTGAAGAGGAGCTCTGGCGCAAAGAAGGTCGTTAAAATTCTCGCCGTGCTTGGTGTTTGCATGGTGATATCAGGTACCCACTCGATAATTTGGGATACCTACAATTGCGTTCCGTTTTGCTGATGGATATTCATTTAGACGGCGTTTTGACTCCTGCACAATCCATCCTTGGAGCTGTACAAGGTATGATGATATATGCAAAATCCACTCGATATCATGTTCCGGACACATTGGCTGATTTTTTGGTGAAGGGATCCAAATTGCAGCTCCCAGTACTGCAACCCATACTGTGGTAGCCATTGCCTGTATCCTGATCGTTATCCTCTTCGCTTTACAGCCGTTCGGCACGTCTAAACTGAGTAGTTTCTTTGCACCCATTGTTATCGTATGGTTAACGTTCAATGTTATCTCAGGTGTCTATGTATGTTTCCACCTTCTGCTGCTGGATTTATCCGAATGCTGACAACCAAATAAAAAAGAACCTGCTCGCCTACGATTCCTCCGTCCTACGCGCTTTTTCTCCATGGCTGGGACTTAATTACCTCTTCCGGAGAAAACTGGAAGGGTGGAAGTCGCTTGGAGGCGTCCTTCTTTGCTTCACTGGTAAATTTAACCGCGCTCAGTCACTAGGTGGTAAATAGCATCAGTTAACAGTGAGGCAGGCGTCGAAGCTCTATTTGCCGACCTAGGCGCATTTTCAGTCAAGCAAGTTCCGATCTGATTCTGGAGGCAACATTCATTTTTACATACACTAGTGCTAAACGAAAATTTTTCTCCAACCAGGGCAATACGGGTCTCGTGGCTCTGTTTTGCATTTCCCTGCTTGCTCCTCACATACTGCGGTCAAGCGGCCTTCATCAGCACCCACCCAGACGCGATCGCGAACCCACTATTCAAATCAGCGCCCCCAGGAATGTACTGGCCTCTCTTTTTCCTCTCGATCCTGACTTCGATTGTTGCGTCACAAGCCATGCTTACGGGGACGTTTCAGCTAATGTCCCAGGCCATTCGCATGGGATATCTGCCCAAAATCCGGGCTGTACACACCTCGAAGCGAATTCCCAGCCAGATTTATATCCCCTGGGCGAACTGGTTGATGATGCTTGCTGCGCTCGTCGTCACTGGAGTTTTTAAAACGGTGAACCTCAGCACCCCAACGGCTTTGATTTCGGCGATTTGCTAACTTCTCAATAGACAACGAAACTAGGCAATGCCTACGGAACATGTGTCGTTGGGGTTGGCTTTATTACCACCTGGCTCGTCGCCTTGGTATCGACCATTATCTGGAATGTCCACGTCCTGATCGTCATGCCCATATTTTTCTTCTTCTTGTGCATCGATGCCTTGTTCGTTTCATCTGCGCTGTACAAGGTTCCATCTGGTGGCTGGTTCACTATTGCAATGGCTGCAATTCTCTCGAGCACCTTGCTCACCTGGAATTATGGTGAAGAATGCCAGCTGGAAGCGGATAGGGATGACTCCTCGCTATCAAGAGCAAGGGTATTTGCAGATACCAGCGGGACGCTGTTTATACGCGAGGGAGCCAGACATCTAGAAGTGAAGAAAATCAGAGGTATTACCCTATCATATCCACTGTGGCTGGCCTAACCCATCTAACCATGACCCCTCGTTATTATTAGGAATCGGAATATTCCTCGTTGAAACTGACTTGAATTCTCCTCCGGTTTTTGATCATTTCCTGAGGAAATTTGAGGCTTCTCATGAAATAACAGTTCTATTACATATCAACCGTATCCCTAAATATCATGTATGACCCACTTACCAGATGCTCAAAGAATTTTGTGTAATATGGGGAACAAGCTAAAAAATAAAAACAACGTAGGTTGTCCCCAAAAACCGGTTTCGAAGCTCCGCAACCGCCATCCGCGGAGTATACCGCGTCACCCTCCGCCTCGGATACGGCGATACCATTAACTGGAACGTCTTCGAGCAATTATTGATAGATGAGCTGGAAACCCTGATATCCAGCGACGGCACCAGCCCACCTACCGACCCCCAACGCGACCTTGACTTTCATCATCAAGATAAAATACCATCACCACATTCCATCCAGCTCCCCGCACCCTCCTCATCCGACGAAGGCATTCCCATGTCAACAATTCACGCCAAAACAAGGCACGAGCTGCTCCCGCCCCCGGATCTGAATGCCATAACCCAAAAGCCCATCACATATATCATCGGCAGAGACAAGCTGTTTATCAAGGAGGAGTCGAACTTTGTGCGCCGGGCGATGCTCACGGTATTTGTGGCTGTGAAGAATCAGCAGCGGACGAAGCTGTCGCAGCTCAAAGTACCGGTTGACCGGTTGGTGGAGATTGGGTTCTCGAAGGCAGTGTAGGTTTTACAGAGTTAACCGCCGAGTTCCTTTTCTTTCTTTTTGTTGGTGCATTCCTTTGTTCCTTTTGGATATATATATTTTTTTGCTTTTTCTTTTTGGATCTATATAGTCTTATGGCCTTAGAATCCCGCGTTTTAATATATGTTTTATTTATTTACAAGAAGTGGAAAAGTAAATAGATTTATATCACCTTAAGTCTAATCTCGCCCCTTTTTTGCACCTGGCTACTCGAGCAATCGCCAAACGAGAAGTTTCCTTCAACCGTGCCAAGCTCCTAACCGCAACATGACATGTCCAACGCTCAACTCATTTATTATTATCAAAACTAATTCAACAACTATAACTACTCCGTACTTCCCCGAATCGGCGATAATAGAGCGCCGCTCACAGGTCGCCATATGTAGCGCACATGCATCCAAAATCACGAGTCCACGCAAGCCACACAAGGCAGCATAGAAATCCAACCGACCAACCCATTCATCCTTAAGCATCTGCCTCGTACCGAGCTACAGCCTAGTAGGCATTCTCGCAATTCAACGGTCCCAACCATAAAAAAATTAAAAAAATAACAAATAAAACATAACATAACCATGCAACGCCTTCGTTAACATGTCCTGGGCCGAGGCATGTTACAGCCGCAACGCGGAACCAACCTAATTATTACATCCCCCGCACAATTTTCCCGCTCGGACCGGACTGGACCCTTTATGTCTTCTATCTTCTACCCCCCCGGAGAAATTGGGAAGCGGTGCACGATAAAATAATGCATTTGCATAGCTAATGGCAACTGGGATTGGGGGATTGGGGGAGGGGAGGGGAGGGGGGTGGTCTTGTCAAGGGAAAGGTTCCATCGTCTTTCTTTTTTGATTGATTGATTGATTGATTGATTGACTGATTATTGATTATTGATTGAATCGGATAATGCTCATCAGCTTAAATAGTTCAATGACTTGAACGGAGAATGTATCTAAATATCTAATATTATATATATGCACGTACCACAGCGAAAAGGCAAGAGAAATAAATATAAAAGCAAGAAAGAAGACTGGGTAGATAGATAGATAGTATGCGGTTCTATAGGACTCCGACTCCCCAACAGATCGGATCGAAGAGAAAAAGAGCGTAGGGGTAAATTTGGGGATGGAGTATAAAGACTAGAAAAAGAGGGGAGAGGAGAGAAGGCAAAAGATATAGCTAACTAACTATGTATCAGAAGAACATTCGATAGGAACGAAACTGTAGATGAGGATGGCTTTCATGGTTTGAATTCTTTCTTTTGTTTCTTTCTTCTTCTTCTTTTCGCCTTCGTTTCTTTCCTTCTTTCTTGTCTGTATGTCATTTATTCTTCCTTCTTCAACTCAACCCCGTCTCCCTCCTCCCTACATGCCAATGCACTTCAGAAAGAGAAAAGCGGAACAAAAGAAAGAAGCTCTCTAAAAGGAAAAGTACATGCACTCATTTATAATTTTCTCCCCCTCTTAGGAAAAAAGAAAAAAAAAAGATATGATAAAAATCAAAAAAAAATAAAAAATATCTGAAAACAAAACACTAAATAAAAACGATCGCGCGCACGCAAAATATATGTTGAGAAGTAAAAACCCCCAGCAAAAAACAGTGAATCAATAAATCAACACACACACTCACACACTCAACACACACACATACACTCATACAAAGAAAAGAAAAAAAAAAAGAAGAAACCCGAAAACCAACTCAACAAACTCAAATCAAATTAAATTATATCAATATGAAAATCTATGCCTTAATAGTCCCGTTCTCTAGCAGGTATTGATAGGTGCCGTATCCAATGGCGCCCAGGAGGATCAGGATGGCGTACAGACCGACACCGAGGCCGCTGCTGGCTTGGGTGCCGCTGGTGGAGGAGGAGGCGGGGGGGTATTGGGCTTTTGGGGCTGGGTCGCCGGGCTGTTTGTTGTTGGGAGGGTATGGGTTAGTCTTGATGGTTTTTGGGATCTGGATCTGGATCTGGGCCGGGCGTGGGGAAGGGGACGGGTATGTGTGCGGCGGGAATGATGTGATTTTTTTTTTTTCTCCCGTCGTCGGGTATTTGTCATGGTTTTGTGTTTTTGTCTTTGAAAATTTTGCGGAAAAGACGACGAGGGTTGCGAGAAGGAAGAGAAGGAAGCAGAGGAGAGAAATGGGAGAAGAAATAAAAAAGAGACACGCACTATTCTCTTCAGTTTCCCGATGAGGAGGCCCTCGAGGATTTCACGGGCCTCGTCGCTGTGGCCAACGTCTTCGAAGGCTTCGGTGGCATCTTGGCCGCCGACGTCGAGGAGGACTTCTTCGCCGCCTCTATGTGTTGGGTGGGGAATTGGTTAGTTTAGTTCTGTGATGTAAATGTAGGAATACAGGTAAGGAGAAGGATAGAGATATCAAAGAACGAGGTTGATTGAGTGAGGACCGAGCTGGCCACGGAGTTTTGCGGTGTGCATGCCACAAAACCTCGTCCAATTGAATCCAATCCACAATCCAACGGGGGGAGATGGGGAAGAGGTGAAGAGACAGGAAGTAACGGGGAAGGAAACCAGGACGTACGGATGCTCATCGACGAAGCTGGAGACGTTGTAGATTTTGTCGTGGATGGTGACATAGAGGTCCTTCTTGGTGTTGTGCTCGGCGAGCTCCGTGAAGGTCAATTCCTTGGTGTCAGACATGGCGGGCGATTGGAGGTGGAGGTGTATACGTTGGTCAATGGGAGCGAGGGGGGCGACGGCGAGAGGAGGTTTGAAGTTGAGAGGATGAAGTTGAAGAGAAGATAGATGGTTGGTTGGTTGGTGATAAATATTTATTTAGGCGGTGCGGTGCGGTGGAAGTATAAGAAGAGAGAGAGGGTCAACCTGTCAGCCGCAGCAGAAAAAAAGTAAAAGGATAAATATTTAAGTTAATAATAAATAGGGCAACTTAAATCGAGATGATGAATAAGAATAATAATAGAACAATGAAATAATAATAATAACTAACTTAATCCACGATAATTTGAAATAATAATAATAATCAAATAATACTTTTATACACATTGTATTAGGATTCTGCGTCGATCCAACCGAGCAGAGCGCGGGCGAATAGCAGCGCGCGCATTGGCATTCATCCAGCTGCAACAGTTTCTATACACATCCCTTGGGGAGATGAAAGCCAAAGCTAGGTGAGTACAGCGATTCTACCGCAGAAGATGTCAACTCCTCCTAATAATAAAGATAATACTTAACTGCAACACTGCACCGAAATAGCTGCTTATTCTTCCCATTGCTATTGCTAGGACAATAAATAGCTGGAGCTACAGATGTTGCCGGTTGAACAGCGAAATCCCCATGTGAAATCCACGCGGGACATCCAGAAGAGCTCACAGTGCAGGCGGATCTCCCTCTCTACCGTCATCTGGCTCAGAGCGCATTCATCCTTGGAACCTTTGCATGCTGTTTCTTTGTTCCAATCCAATGCTCTGATATCATTGAGCTGGAATCAGCCAATTAGGCAGTGCTGATTTGTTTTGCCATTCTAGGGAAGTTTCCCCGAGTTGACGTGATTGTGACACACACTGTATATATTATTATTATTCCAGCGTCAGCAGATATAATGAGAGAAAAAGAGGATGCCATATCACTTGTCAGTATATATATATATATGTATATGTATTGACATACAGACCGTGCTGGGTGGAATATCTGCTTGTTGATTCATTTGTGTTTGGTAACTAGTTGAAGGCGAAGAAGAAGAGATGTTAGCAATCAGAAAAGTCAAAACAAAACTGGGTACGGAGTACAGTACATAATGATCAGTGAGTGTTATTATTATAATTAACATAACTACAGAACTTACTGATACCATCCATTAAGACATCAGCTCTATATGATATGATATATCTAGTGGTGATAACCTGTTCTGTTCTTGTTCTGTTGTGCTGTGCTTCTCTCAAACTGACCAAACTGACCAAACTGACTTGGCCGACGACATCATCGCGGTCTCGCCGAACTCTGTCCATCTATTCCCTCGTTCCCAACACCAACACCACCAGCTCCCCTTTCTTTCTATCTTGCAATTAATAGAAATAAACGTGAGAAGGAAGATACATGCATCAAATCCTCTTGGAAAAAACCAGTTCCCTCGCTACCTAAACAACCCCATCACCTTCCTCTATAAACCATCCCTCCTTACCCCTCCCCCTCGTGTGCTGCATCCCGCAAAACACACCACACCACACATATATACAAACATCCCGCTTACATCTCCGCTCTTCCCCCCTCCCCTCCTAATCCTCCCCTTCTTACCCCCTCTAACCCCCTTTTATCTCCTCACCGACCATGTCCCGCAGCCGCGTCAAAAATATTGCCTACGACGACGATGACTTCGGCAGCGCCTCCCACGACAACGGTGCCGACTACGATAACGACGACGACGACAACAACAACAACAACAATCATGGCGGTAACGACATGACCCCCGAAGACCGCGAGCAGATGCAGCTGGGTACGATACAGGTACGCGAGCAGCTAGATGCAGATTCCCCGCTCGTCCCGGCCTCCGACGCGGAGATCTGGGAGGCGCTCTGGTATTATTATTATGATGTTGAGAAGGCCGTGGGGTGGTTGCGGAGTATGTTGAGTTTTCTTTTCTTTCTTTTCTATTTCTTTTCTATTTCTCCTTTGGCTAATTGGAGGTTGGTTCTCCTGGGTGAATAGAGAAATATGCGCCCAAGACGCCGAAGAAAGAGAAACCCCAGGCGAAGGTTAAGGGTGAGTGGATTTCTCCTTTTTAATATCTTTGCTGCATTCCTATCATTTTGGTGAGAGGATAGGTGGGGGGACGTCCATCTCATATATATGGCGGCTGGGTCGGTCATGGATGGGTTAGAAATTACGATGCGGATATGAACATCCAATTCAAAAGTACGTTCCTCAATTCCTAGGTTCGGTCTAGTTTTAATATTTTGTTTCCGCTCCAAACCAACTGATCCACGGCAGCAAATAGTTTTCTTCCTTTATTGACTTTTGGCCAAATTGGAAATATAAAGAGAAAGAAAAAGAAAGAAACACAGTTCCCGTATCTAATTCGCACCTCACCTCCAGGAACCGCTCCATCATTATCTCCATATCCCATCACATCGTGTCCAGAATCCTTCTCCGCAGCCGACTTCTTCAAGGACTCGCCATGGCTGGACATCCCCGCACACCGCAAAGCTGATATCCTTGTTGAACATCTCTATCCCCGCCTGGGCCTGCTCGGCGGTGCGCAAGAGACATCGGGGAAGGTGTCGAAACTTGCCGCACTAGCTGCGCGCAAGAGGAAGGATAACGAGAAGAAGGCTGCGGCGGCAGCTGGCAGTGAAGCATCCTCAATGGTATCGGATGACCAGCGAAAGTCCCCTATCTCGCTACTAGATAGGCTAGCGGTCGGTGGGAAATCGCAGGGCACCTTGTCGGCCCGGACGGCCCGTTTACCGTTGCGGAGTGGAAAGGGGGCTTTGAACAGGTCGCCCAAGCAGCCGCTCCCCACTAGCCCTGATCTTCCTGGCATGTTGGAATCTGCCACGCCACCTGACGCGCTCCCAAATGGGAAGAGGAAGGCCGCACCAGCATTGTCTGCGGATTCCACGGAACGGGAAGAAGAACGCCCTTCGAAGCTGCCCAACCTACGAGCGGAGCCTTCAGCCTTTGCTATGGTCCTTGTCGGCGCGCGAGAAGTTGGAGGAGGAGAGGACCACGATGACGTCCCTATACGCAAACCAATCTCACATAATATCGACGTCATGCGGTTTTTCGGTCAGAGTCTTATTAACGCGTTTGATTTTTCAGAACCGAGTCCGGACGATGTTGTTATGAAGGCGCGGGAGCCAGCTAAAGGTTTGTCAGGAGTTCGCACAGCAAACCCGCGTTAAACCATTTTTAAAAAGTGAAGCTTTGAGGTTGAGATGGTGAACAGAAAAAGAGAAAGAAAAAATCCTAACCATTTTCTGGTGTTTCTTTTTTTTACCGTTTGTGTAAAAAAAATACAGGCAATAAAAATAAAACGAAACGTACCGCTGCGAGTAAATCGTCGCCAAGCAAAACTGATGATGTGACGGATGCCGTTGGGCAGCTGTCTGTGCAGGAGACGGTGAAGGTCAAGAGCAAGAATATCGATGTGCTGGCTGAATATAGCAAGTCGGATAAGAAGAAGGCTGCTAATTTTGTTGTCATCGGTATGGAATTTTATAAAAGGCCACTCTACTGAACACAAGGTGGGGAAAGGACCCGGCTAATTTATGCTCCTTGTTTTATAGGCCATGTTGATGCAGGGAAAAGTACATTGATGGGACGATTGCTTTATGAACTAAAAGCCGTTGACCAGCGGACTATTGATAAATACAAAAAGGATGCCGATAAAATGGGCAAGGGCTCGTTTGCGCTGGCTTGGGTCCTGGATCAGGGATCAGAAGAACGGGCGCGCGGGGTCACGATCGATATAGCTACGAATCAATTCGCGACGGAAAATACCAACTTCACTATCTTGGATGCGCCGGGTCATCGCGACTTCGTACCCAACATGATTGCTGGGGCCAGTCAAGCTGACTTCGCAGTACTGGTCCTTGATGCTACGACTGGAAACTTCGAATCGGGCCTTCGGGGCCAGACAAAGGAGCACGCGCTGCTCGCCCGAAGCATGGGCGTACAAAAGATAGTCGTGGCAGTGAACAAGATGGATGCAGCCGAATGGTCCCAAGGCCGCTTCGACGAGATCCAACAACAGATCTCCTCTTTCCTAACCACAGCCGGCTTCCAGGAGAAAAACATATCCTTTGTCCCCTGCTCGGGGCTACGCGGCGACAACGTCGCCCAGCGCGCCCAGGACAAGAACGCAAGCTGGTACACCGGCAGGACGCTAATCGAAGAACTTGACACCTCAGAACCCTACACGTACGCGCTTGACAAGCCGCTACGCATGACCATCGCCGACGTCTTTCGCGGCGGTGTGCAGAACCCGCTCTCCATCTCCGGCCGCCTAGACGCCGGCCACCTGCAGGTCGGCGACCAACTTGTCACCATGCCCAGCGGAGAAAAGTGCACGATCCGGAGCCTGGAGGTCGACCAGACACCCAGCGATTGGTGCGTAGCGGGGCAGAACGTAACCCTGCACCTAACAGATATCGATCCTATACATCTGCGGATCGGAGATATCCTGTGTAGTCCGTCCGCGCCGGTGAAGAACATCACCTCGTTCACGGCGAAGGTGCTGGCGTTTGATCATCTGACGCCGATGCATATTGACGTGCACCGGGGCCGGTTGCATGTGCCCGGGCGCATTAGTCGACTGGTTGCGCTGCTGGATAAGGGGAGCGGGATGGCAGTGAAGAAGCGGCCGAAGATTGTGGGGCCGGGAAGTGTTGCGAGGGTCGTCGTGGAGATGGAGGCGGCGATTCCGCTGGAGGCGCCTGGGAGGGTTGTGCTTAGGGCTGGGGGGGAGACGGTTGCGGCGGGGTTGTTGGAGTGAGGTTTTTTCTCTTTACGCTGCTGTTGTTTTTCTCTCGATTTATATGGATATGATTGAGGTGGGATACATAATGATATATAGACATTTTGCGGGGTGATTTTGGTAGAAAGCCTGGGTGCGATCAAATATATGGAATGCTAGAGTTATAGTTAGCTAACCCCCCAACAATAGCGAAGTGAAGGCCATGATTGAACCATTGCCGGTCTCACTTATGAGACAGATATTTGACTTGGCTCTGGGGAATCCGACAGAAAGGACAGGTTTACAGATTATGGATATGAATAATATTAATTGAGGAACAAGAATGTAACTAAACACCACAAAGTGGACAGGCTGTCCACAACAGCCGTCTCGAATACATTTTCTTCCAAGAAGTGTCCTCTTTTAACCATTTTCTATATTGCAGAAACAGAAACCTTCCGGCCACATCCCGTGGCGTCTACTTCCACGACAGAAAACACCAGAACCCTCCAGCGACATTGCTGAGTCATGCGTTGCAGCCAATCAGCAGCGATGGAATAACCTTAAATGGACCCTTGGCACGGGCGAGCGTGGTCAGACCGCGAATTGCCACAGCCGCACGGGGGACACGCCGGGCGGCCCAAAGCGGCCTAGCGCGGGCAGTGGGTGAAGTCCGAAAAGAAAAGGCCAACTGTTAAGAGCGAGCGAGCGACGGCGGATTGTTGGGGATAACTTCAACCTCTTCTTCTCTTCTTCTCTTCTTCACCCTCATATATAGCTACGACCAAAGCTCCCTCTTCTATCCTTCTCTCTCATCCAATCCCCCTCTCCTCACTCCCACTCCCACTCTCTCCCCCTCTCTCTCTCTGTGCTCTCTCCTTAAGCTAGCTAGCTTGAGAAGGCAAGAAGCTAACTAACTAACTTCTTTTTTAATTGAAGCTTTTCCCTTGTTCTTCTCCTTACTTCACTTTAGATACCCACCCCGTTTTGCTCATTCTTCGCTTTTTTTTTAAATCACACCCGTTTGAGATTAGAAGAAGGCAGGGAAAAGGAAAGGAGCCCTTGCAACATCAAGATATAATTACCAAGAACCCAGTTCTCCTTTCTGGAAGGAAAAACAAAAGTACACACATTCACCATGTCCCGAATGTCGCGGCGGGACGCTTCGTCCTCGCCCTTCGCGTGGACAACGGTCTTCTACCTCCTCCTCGTCTTCATTGCGCCCCTAACTCTGCTCGGGACTGCACATGCGGACGCTGATCAAGCTCCCATTAAAGAGGATTATGGCACTGGTATGGTATTTTTCTGAAGGAGAGAAAAAAAAAATTTGTTTTCAATTGCTGACGTGTCCTAATCTCAATTTTGAACAGTAATTGGTATTGATTTGGGAACGACATATTCTTGCGTCGGAGCGATGCAGAATGGGAAAGTTGAGATTTTCGTCAATGACCAGGGAAACAGAATTACTCCGTCATACGTGGCCTTTACGGATGATGAGCGGCTGGTCGGCGATGCGGCGAAGAATCAGTACGCTGCGAACCCGACGAGGACGATTTTCGATATCAAGTATGTAGCTCACTGTTTCTTTTCGTTTTATGAGGTAATTTGATGTTCTTGATTGACTAACGCTTTCTCTCTCTAAATTTAAAGACGTTTGATCGGCCGGAAATTCGACGACCAAGACGCCCAAAAGGACATGAAACATTTCCCCTTCCGTGTTATCAACAAGGCTGGCAAGCCCCAGGTTAAGGTTGAGGTCAACGGCAAAGACAAGAGCTTCACTCCTGAGGAAGTCTCCGCTATGATCCTGGGCAAGATGAAGGAAATCGCCGAGAACTACCTTGGAAAGACCGTCACCAACGCCGTCGTCACTGTCCCCGCCTATTTCAACGATAACCAAAGACAAGCCACCAAGGACGCAGGCATTATCGCTGGCCTAAACGTTCTCCGTGTCGTAAACGAACCCACCGCTGCGGCTATCGCCTACGGTCTGGATAAGACTGGTGATGAGCGCCAGATCATCGTCTACGATCTCGGTGGAGGTACCTTTGACGTTTCCCTCTTGTCCATCGACAACGGCGCCTTCGAGGTCCTGGCCACCGCCGGTGATACCCACTTGGGTGGTGAGGATTTCGACCAGCGTGTCATCAACCACTTCGTCAAGTTGTACAACAAGAAGAACAACGTCGATATCACCAAGGACCTCAAGACCATGGGTAAACTGAAGCGCGAGGTTGAGAAGGCCAAGCGCACTCTCTCGTCGCAGATGTCCACCCGTATTGAGATTGAGGCCTTCCATGACGGCAAGGACTTCTCCGAGACCCTGACCCGCGCCAAGTTTGAGGAATTGAACATGGATCTGTTCAAGAAGACCCTCCGCCCTGTCGAGCAGGTGCTCAAGGACGCGAAGGTTAAGAAGTCTGAGATTCACGATATCGTTCTCGTTGGTGGTTCCACCCGTATCCCCAAGGTCCAGGCTCTCCTCGAAGAGTTCTTTGGCGGCAAGAAGGCTTCCAAGGGCATCAACCCTGATGAGGCTGTCGCGTTCGGTGCCGCTATTCAGGGTGGTGTCCTTTCTGGAGATGAGGGTGCCTCTGAGATCGTTCTCATGGATGTTAACCCATTGACCCTCGGTATCGAGACCACTGGAGGCATCATGACCAAGCTCATCCCCCGTAACACTGTCATCCCCACCCGCAAGTCTCAGATCTTCTCGACTGCCGCTGATAACCAGCCAGTGGTCCTTATCCAAGTTTGTACGTTATAATCTCCTTTCCCTATCTAGTGTCTTTTGTTCAGCATAGAAGTACAATACTAACAACCCCTCAGATGAAGGAGAACGTCCCATGACAAAGGACAACAACCTCCTCGGCAAATTCGAACTGACCGGCATCCCTCCCGCGCCCCGCGGTGTGCCCCAGATCGAAGTCTCCTTCGAACTCGACGCCAACGGCATCCTCAAAGTCACCGCCGGCGACAAGGGCACCGGGAAAGCCGAATCCATCACCATCACCAACGACAAGGGTCGTCTCTCGCAAGACGAGATCGACCGCATGGTCGCTGAAGCTGCTGAGTTCGCGGAGGAAGATAAGGCCATGAAGGCTAAGATTGAAGCCCGGAATACGCTGGAGAATTATGCGTTTAGCCTGAAGAACCAGGTGCAGGATGCGGAGGGACTTGGCGGCAAGATTGCGGATGATGATAAGGAGACGGTACGTTTTGACTACTTCACTAATTACCACTACCCCAGTATGGAAATTCTGTATACTAACCAACGGTGTTTTTTGGATACAGCTCCTGGAAGCCATCAAGGAAGCCACAGACTGGCTCGACGAGAACGCCGCGACGGCCACGACGGAGGACTTCGAGGAGCAGAAGGAGAAACTGTCTAATGTTGCATATCCGATCACGAGCAAGTTGTACGGCTCTGCGGATGGGGCTGCTGGTGCTGGTGGTGAGGAGGATGAGCCGAGCGGACATGATGAGCTGTAGTGGTTTTTTTTCCCTTCCTTTTTTCTGTAATTTGTAGAAGGTGGTTTTTATTATTGTAAAATGCTGAGAAATCATTGATGTTTGTTTTTTGTTCCATGACATACGCTGTATACAAAAACTGCGCTGTAAGAGAGGTGGGGGTTTATTGTATGGATGGAGTTAATGTCCATTTTTTTTTACTTCTCTCGATTCTGCTACTTTCTTCGTAAACGTGGTTTCTTCGATTATTTTTGACTTGCATTTCATTCTGTTCGCTTGATTTGCTTATTACTTGCTCTGTTTCTCACCCTGTTATTATTTCTTCCTGTCGTTCTTTTAGGCGGAAAGAAAATGAAAAAGAATGAAAAACAAAGTCAGAAGAAGGGCTGTGCTGCGATGCTTTGCCTCGACGTCACTTCTTTACACACGAGATATCTCTCTCCCCCTACAGTAAATATGCACGGGAGATGGGGCAGTGCAGCATCGCAGGGCAGAAGCCAAACAAACAAGCTCTCTCTCTCTCTCTCTCTCTCATCACTTTGGGCCTCGGAAACCTCGACTATTTAGAAAATCCAAGCACGAACAGCACGAGCAAACACGAGGCTTCTCACCATCAGGGTATTTGTCAGTTATACGAGCAAGCACACATGGGGATCTCACCTAGTTAAAGAACCATGTCAAGTCGATTGCAAGGCGGAGACTGAGCAGAGCCTCATCTTCGGATTCTCGCGTTGAAATATTTATCTTTTTTTGCAAGAAAACAGAGGGGAAAAATACATACATATATATATATATATATGTATATATATACTTCTACTGGACTGGCAGACCTCATCTTCCACCGTACAGTAAGTAGTAAAACTACTTATCCCAATACAATATATATTATATGATGGCTATCCAGCCCTGCGTTTACACTCTTCTGCTGCTCTGCCTTACGGGCCTGCCCGTGCCGGCGCAAGATATCGCTTATGAGGGAGTTACCTATGCGAAGGCGGACAACCTTGGCTTCTCCTTAAATCTGGTCTCTGGTCTCGAGAGAATAGCGCCTTTGCAGACTCCCCCCGTAGGAGAACTGGGCGACGCCGTGCTGGGAAAGCGCCAGAGATATCGATGCGTGCCGCCTTCATGGAGTACGGCGATTTATATTTTAATTCCCCCCCCCTCCCCCCCCCCTCCCCCCCCCCTCCCCAAATATTCCTCTCCTAATCTGCTTCCAGGGGCGGGCGGAAGTTAAATTTCGCGGTTTTGCCTGGCTGCTTCCTGGTTTCCTCCAACTTGACTCTTTCTTCTGTTCGATTCTGTTTTTTGCTTTGCTTACTTCCCCTCTCCCTAACTTATTTAATTCTGACTTAGTCCAAAGTCCCAACAACCCTGCAAAATGCAGACCTCCTGGCGCTGAATGTTGCGGCACGCGTTATTACTACTGGCCGCAGACCCAGCACTGCTGCGCAGATGGCTCGGGCTCTTGCCCGCTAGGCACCTTCTGCTGTCCCAAGAACTGCTGCCCGCCGGGAGGCAGATGTGGTGCTGACGGGTCCTGCTCGACTCGAGTCACCCGTACCAGGACCCAGTCGTCAACTCGAACACGCACGAGCACAAGCACGACTACAACCGCAAGCACATCGTCGACGAGAACCCGGTCCACGAGCACGGCGACGGCGACTCGTTGTGCTGCTACCAATAGGCCGAGACAGGCTGCGCCGCCGGGAAATCTTCCTGAGGTGAAAATGCTGTTCAAGGAGAAGATTATGCGGGTGTCTGATGGGAAGGGGGGGTTTAAAAGAGTGTGCGTTGATAATAGAGAGGTAGGTAATTGATAGTGACGAATTTGCTGGACTCTTTTTTTTTTGTTTCGACATTTGTGTAACAAGGGGGACATATCTTGCTGACGAATATTTGCGCAGGTTATGAATAGCATGTGTGACGGTGATTAGCCCTTACGCCATTTTATTTTTTTGTTTTTATGATGGTATGTGTTTAAGGAAAAGACCAACCTAAAGGATGTCGTATACTATAGGCATGAAGGACTATAACGGTTGTATCTCGGAAGAGATGCAATTGAAGTACGAGCCAGACGAGAAGGCCAGAGCCAATAATAGGGGGAGGAAATGCCCTGACAACTTCTGCAGTACGTTCCAAAATCTTCTCCCCGGAAATTTTTATCTTCTTGAGTATCCTTTCATGGCTGACATATATATGATATAAAAAAAATAGCACCACAAAATGTGGATTGCGACCCTTCGAATCCGAGAAAGCCATGCAACCAGTATTATCAGTTCATAGATTTCTCCGCAAGCCAGCTGAGTAATAATCACCCGTTCCAGCTTACTTGTGATGAATTTCCATTTGGTGAGTAGCCTTGATTCTTTCAGAGAAAAACCCCTACCCTCCCTTTCCCCCTCCCTTTTTTGCATTGCCCTCTTTCTCTAACGCGGGGAATATGTAGCGAACTCAAAAGAAGGAGGCAATCCCGGGCGGGGGACAAGCATATGCGTACCAGCATGGCAACAGAATACCCAAGGAGGTTATCTGAGCGGTATCGGAAAGAGAACTAGCGGCCCGGATAGGTCCTATGTTTTGAAGCTTGTTGGATGGGACTGTGCCAGGCGCCGGCCGAAGAGTGGCTTTTCCACAAACTGTGGAGGGAGAGTCAGGCGGGAGGTAGAGACTACCTTTAGCCGGGACGTTACGGGCGGTAAGTTCACATTATATAAATATAAGAGAGTTGAAACCACTTATTACGTACGTACGTACGTACAAGGGCTAATCAAACAATATTCTGAGCAGAGGATTTGTGGAAGGACTTCGCAGAGCCAGGCGAGAACTATTTGCTTCTTTATATCGGCGATTTGCCAGCGGGAGTGTATGCGTCCTTTTTCTTTCTCCTTGTAGAGAACCATTCTATTTATCTCCTCCCCTAACCCAACCCCCCCCCCACCTTTTCGGTCCCCTGCTTTCCTTTCCACTGCTACTGACACCCGCAAATCGTAGGTATACCTACGACCTCAACCTCTCCACCGGTTCATTCTCCGACATCTCCATCGTCGACAAACTCGGCGAACAACACGCAGCAATCCCCGGCTTCAACGCCCAAAACGGCCGACAAACCATCTCCTTCAACCTGACCTATGGCGCCCCAGGCCTGGCACTCATGGGCGTAACCCGAGATACGAATATCTCCATGGCGTATAATGCCACGGGGCTGACGGGCGATGACGTGGCACCGAAGAGTGCCGCTGTAGGGAATGCTGGGCTTAGGTTTGGACTTTTTGCGTTACCGGCCGCTGTGGCTTTTGGGATGGCTATTTTGTGGATGTGATTGTTCTTGGCTTCATAAGTATAATGATGATGACGGTGGATGGTGAATGAAGGTGCCTCCATAAATTGTTACTGACTGCGTCGTCGTGGAGGGTAATGCAAGGCTGGCAAAGTTTTCTCTTTTTTTAGATAGTACAGACAGATATATACCCATGATTTTTTAGTAATATGAATGCTGAACTTTTCATCACGGCAAGCGATGCCTTCCTCTCCGATGGATTTCCCAGGCGGGGATTTGGGAATGTAATTTTTACGCTGCTTGCCACACTGCTCAGCAGCTACGGCTCCTATAAAGGCGACAATTTTACCTAGGCCTAGACACATATTCGGTAGAAGATGGTGGGAAATTCCTGGAGAAAATTGACCCCGGGAATCGAAATAGCGATTTGAAAAGTTAATAGCATAGCCATGTCCATGAACTCTGTAGTCTCAATAGTTTCCCCCCTTTTTGCCCAAGCTAGTATGCTGCGCTCACAGAAGGTAACTTCATGTTAAGCTGCCGGGGATAGAAGAATACATCTTCGCAATACGTCACATTAGAGGGGGTAAACGTGGTGATTCAATTTCAACTATCGACCCGACAGCTGATCGCCGTCGCTTGGTGGTTCCACCCGCAAATTGATGAGGACATTCTCGCCAAAATCCCGCAGTTTTCGAGCGACAAGCCCTTCACTTTCCTTCTTCGTAACATCATCATCATCATCGAACCAGGCTGAACGTTGCCGCCGGGCCGAGGTTGCTGTGAAGGAAATATCCAACAGCTGTAGATCCCTCATTGATGGAATAACGCGGACGAGTTGTGGGTTTGATGCTATGGAGTAGTAGTCTGGGAAGTAATGGAGGTGTACGGATGTAATCTTCTCCATGCGCTGGGGGAGGATGGAGCGGGAAAATGCGAGGAAGTCGTCCTCGTGGTAGAAGTGGAAGGTATTGGAGGAGTAGAGGAGGTCGATTGCTTCAAGGTAGCTGTTGTTCTTTAGTTGTTAGTTGATTGGGAAGGGGGATCTATATAAAAAACATAAATGGGGAGAGGGGAACACTAGAGAGAATCGGCACGAGTCTTTACCAGATGCCTGATCAACATACACGTACATTCTGCGACAGCTTTTTACCAACGGGAGTAATTCCTCACCGGGTACGTTGGGCTCGAAGTCCCTGTTGAGAGGCGAAGGGCGAATTCCAACTATACCGAAGTATCGCCGAAGCCAGGGGGGATTCTGGAGAAATTTCCGCCCCCGTTCGCTCTCCGCTGAGTACTTTAAATGGCTTAATCGGCTAGGCTTTGCTTTACCCTTTGCACCTCCCTGCTTCGCCACGGAATAGCTGCGGATTCGCATGATGGCAAACTGATGCCCGCTCAGCACCTTGCGATAAATCATCTGACGAAGTTCAGCGCTCAATTTGAATAGCGGGCTAGAAGCTTGATCATGTAATGTTCCCTCCTGGGATTTCGACCCATAGAGCATTGGGGGAATCGGGACGAGAGGATTGTGCGGTGATGGCCGCGATCTTGACGCTGAGAGTGATAGATTGCGCGGCCGCCTCTTGGGAAGGGGAGGGATACTCGCTTCTATTATGAGCTGGCTGTGATGTTTTGCTTCCGCATGGCGGACGTAGCATGTCCGGCACGCGCTGTACCCATACATACATGATATGATGGGACACAGGATCCAGAAGCAGAGCGCGCAGCAGATCCATTCTGTGCGGCGTGAGTCGGAGTCGACTTCGCTCACCTCCCCGCAGCAAGAGAATGGGTCTACCGGTGCCCGCATTTTGTAACTTGCCGTGTCAAATAGATAAATGAATGAATAAATGGGAATCGACTTCTTTCCGTCCTGTGCTTCCTATGAGTATTTATCGTGTCATGGTTGAGTGATGTCCTTGGGAAAGAGTACCTTTCTCGGCCAGTAGGATGGGCTCACTAACATTCCCTTACATATGTTGTACACACACCCTATATAGAAACTTCATGCCACTGTGGTCGAGAGATATTCGCCCTCAACAACGCAGACGCCAAAAAGCCCTGCTGTTTTAACCTTGATGAATGAAGTTGCCTGGTGACTGCTTGCTCGCAGAGCTTAGCTATACGAAGCTAATGCGGGGGATTGAGCGCTAGCCAACCAATCAAGTGGACACATAAAAGTGGCTGCATTTCAATTTCGCAGTTGATTTGTGGCTGTGCTGGGCGCTAGACACATGTAGACTCTGTGATCACGAAGCATCATGTTTCTGCACAATGTAAAGTAGGAAGAGAGGATGCGACTAGAGATCCATAGTTCCCATTGATTCGTTTAGGATTTGAGTAGGTGTACATAACCGTCGCCTTGTGGTGAGGGGGTGCAAGAAAAAGATTGACACAGTCAGTCGTGACTTGAAGGATGCTCAAAGAATTGGGATATGTAGCCCATTCCATGCGAATACCATGTGGACATGTACATGTTGCAGATCGAGGAGACGAGCTGAGGAAACCCGACGGGGTGGGAAAAAATAAGAAAGGAGGGAAAAGACGTGAAGGGAATAGAAAAAGCAGGTTGCGACCAGCCGCAAAACTCAGGATCTAAGACATATACACGTAACCATAAACACGCAAAATCTTCCTCGGGAGTATATATGTTTTAACAAAACGAAGGGGGAGCCCAAAGGGTAAAACTGAGCGAGAGGCACTTAATCCAAAGGGGGCATAGATAGAATAAGACGTAGGAGGAGGTGGAGGAAGAAAAAATATAGCCCGGTATTCCTAGGTAGGTAGATAAAACAATCGGGGAATTAGAAGAGCCGAAAAGGCAGGTCGTAGCGCTGAAGAAATACATCAAATATGGAGAAAAAATATATATAGATATATATATTTATAAGCAGTACTCCGTACATAACATCATACCCCGTCCATGCTCTTTCAGGATGCACGCTCACGCCTTAACATGAAAATGAAGAAAAAAGAAAAAAAAAATCATATCTAATTCGCTAGCCTTCGCTCATAAAACACAAGGTATGCCTGATCATTTTGAAGGCTGTCAGCTGGCCTAAGGCCCGAAGGGTTGAAATCGGTCACTCGTTGATCATCGAATTTCCGCCAGCATCCACGGCGGTCGTCTCTAACGAGGGATATGTAGTGTCCCTCGCTGGAAGAGGAGCCTATGTGGCGGACAATGCCGTAGGCGTTATAAATATAGGGAGGGGTGGTTGCAAGTTCCGGCTGGGACTTTTTATTGGTCCCATCGGCGCCTCCGTTGAGGAGGGCTGAGGTGCCGACGGGTGGAGCCATAAAGGGCGTGATGTCTAAGCCGGTAATGGGAAAGTTGATAGGGGTGTGTATTTTTCGTGTTTGTTGGTAGCGGGAGACAGAAAAGCGCTTAAAATGGATCACGAGGAAACGAGGAGCCCTGGTGATAATGATCTGTTTGGTGGCCTCCCGTTCGCAGCGACAGTGTGGGCACTTCCAAACTTCGTCGCCACTAAGCATTTCTTCTTGACAGTAGCTGTTGAGGCATTGGTAGAGGTCCCCTGCACCCGATGATGGAGATGTTGGGATTTCCACGCTAATGCTGAAGAATGCTTCGTACGTTGTTGAAGTACGCCGACATGTACGACAGCGCAGTCGACTAGCATGCTGTCCAGCAAATAATGAGGATATATAAGAGAATTCACGATGGCAATATCGGTTCCATTCAATGGTTGAAACTTGCTCGATTGGCATCTGTTCGCGGCGCATTTCTTGCTCAGCTGTCAGCGGCCTTAGCGGTGTCCTGTTCCAGTTCAAGTTGAGATCTTCGTGCAAGCAATCGAGAAGCACATCGAAAAACTCTTTTGCATCCTGTTGTCGGCTACCAGCCCATTCGGGATTCAACCGTCCAATAAAATTTCGAAACGATGTAGGGCGGATAACTTCGACATCATTTTTCCATAAAGACCGTACAAGGTTCGCAAATAAACCAGGCAGGATACCTTGTGAGCCCTTCCAGTTTTTCTGTACTTGAGAATGGAATCGGTTGTCAATGAAAAACTTGGTTAGTTGAACGGTAACGCTCAAACATTGGATGATGGAATTCATATAACATGTCGATCCCATATTAACAAGGCCTGTGCGTGGTAATTTCATGCGGTCAATTGGTGAGCTAGCGGCATACAGCGCTGTTTTAGACGCGGATGATTGCCGGGCAAGAGGAGGTTGAACATTCCTACCCTCAGCCACGCCACTGTAGATGGGTCGAGGAAGTGCCGGCGTAGGACGAGAAAGTGACGGAGGTAGGGACGGGTCAGATAGAGGAATTTGGGGTGAGATGGCTTGTGCCTGTGCTCCAACCATAGATTGTCTAATATCATGGGGCTCGGGGAATCTCCTAAAGAAATCTTCATAGTCATGTACGAACGCGCTAGCGGCCTCTTGCTCATTGAAACTGTCAGGTTCTTCTGTAATAGCTCCCTCCTCTGTTACATACGTAGAGGGATCGATTTCCTCATTTCTAGCTTTCTCGAGCCAGACACGTTCTTCCTCAGGGTTAAGGGGTTTATATTCTCGCAACCTGCGCTTTCTTACCTCCCAGCTGGAATTGGCGCTAGCAGTGGGGACACGCCTAAGAGGTTTGGCTGCAGCCTGGGCTGGCCTCCGAGCATGGAGTGAGCTCATAACAGCAGCTGTTTTAGAAGTAGCTAATGCGTGAGGACCAACAAGATCGACCCACGCATCAATACCACCAACCAAAAGAGCCGGTTGCCGCCCATCCTTTAGGGGTTTATACGCGTTGAATTCGTATAAGGTGTCGTAGAGGGCCCGTAGATGTGGTAGGCTGCTACCTGCCGGAGACCCAGCAAGGTAGGAAGCCTCTCGCGTATTCTGATCATAGTAGACAACCAAATCGAACTCATTCCTTCTGCTGAAATGAGATTGTTCAACCTCTGGAGAGAGAACCAGCCGGTCCTCAAGCTCTTCGGCTGACACATTCTCTTTCAGCGCAACGGGTTCTATGCATATAATTGACTTGGAGTAAATATGGCCGGTGTCAAACCTGTCTCGGGGACGGACATCAATGAGTAATCTTCGTATTTCTGAAGATAGCCGTATAACCTATCTGGGTGTATAGTTGGTTGCAGAGGAATGTTTGCAGAGCTGCTAGGTGCATCCCCCCTCGAGTAAACGCTATTTGGGGTCAGGGATCGAGATGGGGGGTCACCGTTGCTATATCCGTTTAGATTGTCATTCGGCGCGCCATTAAAAGACGATACCTGGCGAGATAGACCCGGGCGAGCAGTATCAGTTGACGTTCTGGGTGGGTTTAACGGTGGTTGTGACGGGACTGTCCATACTGGACTATACGCTGGACTCGGGTAACGAGGAAGCGAAGGGTTTGTTGTAGTTAAAGGAACTTTAGGTGGCACAGCAGGTGGTCTTTGCGATAAACTCATATCACGGGGTCCAAAAGGTTTTGAGCTGGGGTGTTTTAATGCGCTGCTTCTTGACACTGGCCGTTCTTCTGGAGATGATTGGGAGGATGTGCCGCCTTGGGGAGCGCCGTTCCGCTCGACCGTATTTGAAATTCCAGGTTCGCGAGACCTTCTCAATTCTGCAAACCTTTGGGTGAGAGTATCTGAGGCACTGGGCTCTGAACTGACCGGTTTGCGAGGAAATATCTCCGATCTCGGTCTCGATTCGGCGCTTGGCTGACCGATAGTTAGGCTTTCTGGGGTGACAGATGCGGGCCGCTTCGACTGGAAACTGGTAGGGCTGGGCATGCGAAGTGGAGGTTCATTTGGGATTTGACTGAGACGATGCACAGAGAGAGATGAACTAGCAACAGAATCTGCATCGGCAGGGGGAATCCGAGGGAGCATCGGCGGGGGGGGGGAGGTTGTTTGATGGCCGTTGGGGGACTTTCTGCTTTGGTCGATCGACTGCTTCACACTCGTCATAGTCCCGTCTTGCGATCGAATAACCTAGAGATATTAGTATACTTCATTCCATCCTGGTACAAGAGCACCGTTCCTCTCCTGAAACTTACTGCCAGTAATTTTATAAACCTGTCATTCCACCCTGGATGTTGGCGTCTCATATAGTCATAGTCTGGATGGTTGGGAATGGCGTTGACTGTGATTTCTGAAGCTCGGAGATAGTCGTTGAATGCCACATCCAGCTGCCCGTTTGCTAGAGATAATTTTGAACTCTGGATATAATCTTCTGAGGTACGGAGCAGCTCATTCAACTAAGGTAAAAAAGATAGCATGTCAGTGGGAGTTAAACATCCGGATTCATATTTCATCCGGTCCGTAAACTGCACTTACGGATGCCCCTGGGTCAATATTCATGGATGCAGCCATATCTTCAAGTCCCTCTGTAATAGAATTCGAATGACGATGCGGGACAGAGCTAGAAGATCCCCCCGTATTTGGGAATGGGTCCCCTCTGGAGAAGTTGTTCTGACCCCGCATTACGCCTCCGCTCCTAGAGAAGATCGAGAGCGCGTTTCCTAGCAGAAGCCCCAATAAGAAGGGAATCCCACTTCATCAGGTATATCACTATATCGGTGTATAAGTGTAGCAGACTCGCATTCTTCGGTGGAGGAGGGGAGTGTGATATTCGATGTAGTTCGAGCGGCCAGCTTACGCCCCGCAACAGCAGAGCAAAAGAATTGAAAAGAGGGTGACGGCAGATGCCCAAGCGACGGGTATAAGGGGTCGATAGAGATCGAAAGGACTGAATAGCTGTAGCTTGCGAAATAGGTTGTCCTGATGCGGGCAAAAAATATATTTACACCACGTCGAAGTCTTTGGCATACGCGGCTCTTGTGAAGGCGCAGGGCGGTATTTTAAAAACGTATTGCGCCGTATGGCGGTTTAAGATGACACCCGGTTAGGTAGGTATTGTTGTAACCACTAGTTACATCTCTGTGAGGCACGTGATCTGATCGTAACAATCGTACCGCATTTACAGGTAGGTATTCTTCCGTATGACGAGAAGCTCCCCCAGACCCAACCAAGGCAGCGCCGTAAATAACGGAACCACCGCAAGCAGCTTCCACATCAACTTCTTCATGAAACCTCAAACCTCAAACCATACCGACAACCTCACTTCCCAGAATCTCCTCCCTGTTGATATTTATGTTATTCTTTCTAGCACCTCTACCTTAACTTGTTGTTACTTGTGTGAACAAATATCCCGACTCAACCTCACGCTCAGTTCGCCTTCTTCCGTCATCATCCCCGCAACCTCCCTGTCTATTCTTCGAGCTATCAACTTACACACGTATCGCCATAGCTTCTGTCGACCTGCTGCGCAACGAAAGACCTTGAAACCTCGATTCACAGATTATCGGTTATTATGGCGGGCTGGTTTTCCTCTACTTCTTCGTTTGATGAGCAGGTGGAGAAGGCGACCTCGTCGTCCTTGTATGTTGCCCCTATCGGCAGCTACCATGTTACTGAACGTTTATCTAACTTAGCGAAGAGAGGATATTGCGGCGAACCTGGAGATTTCAGATGTGATCCGATCAAAGAGTGTACAGCCTAGGGATGCTATGCGATCGCTCAAAAGGAGGTTAGAGAGCAGGAATCCGAATATCCAGCTAGCGACTTTAAAGGTTCGATTAGACTTCTCCCCTCTGGCTTGGTCTCTGTCTTCGTTTGCTTACTGTGACCAATCCATATCTAGTTGACGGATACATGTGTCAAAAATGGCGGTAACCACTTCCTCGCGGAGATCGCTTCGCGGGAGTTCATGGATAACCTAGTCTCGCTGCTCAGAGCTTCCGGGCCCGCAACTCTTAACGAAGAAGTAAGGACTAAGGTACTAGAACTGATTCAAACGTGGGCAGTGGCTACGCAAGCCCGTGGCGATTTTCCGTACATTGGTGAAACCTACCGGGGTTTGCAAAAAGAAGGTTATCAGTTTCCGCCTAAGACGGAGATGGCAAGTAGCATGCTTGATAGTAGCGCTGTAAGTAAATCGACTGAGAGCAATTCTGACTAGAAGGGGACATGTCTTCTAACCAACCCAAAGCCTCCCGAATGGATAGATTCGGACGTTTGTATGCGCTGCCGAACTGCTTTTACATTCACTAACCGGAAACATCACTGCCGGAACTGCGGGAGCGTTTTTGATGCACAATGCTCTAGCAAAACCCTTCCACTTCCTCACCTGGGAATTATGCAAGCTGTAAGAGTCGATGACGGTTGCTACGCTAAGCTAACATCGAAATCTTTCAATCCTGTGAGTTCATCAAATCGATCAGGACTCAAACCTACGTCTACTTCCAAACCTACCATAGCGCCGATGGAACCGCGTGGTGGAAGAGCCGAGTCGGACTTCGATGAGGATCTCAAGCGTGCACTCCAAATGAGTCTTGAAGAGGTAAAAGCGCATAGTGGCGCTGGCTATGTCCCACAGGCCAAATCGGCTGCACCTGAATTAAAGAACCCTGAACCAAAGCAGCCTGAAGCAAATGGGTTGGCTAAGGATTCCATGGAAGATGACGATCCCGATTTGCGAGCTGCCATCCAGGCTTCGTTGAAAGATATGGAAGAGCAGAAACAGAAGCACTCGGCGGCTTTGAAAAGTACGACTGCCGAAAATTCTTCTGCAGCCCCTGCGGTGTCTGCGGCCGTCTTGCCGAAGAAAGACTACGAGCTTAGCGCGGTCGAAGCGGAAAATATTAATTTGTTTGCAACACTTGTAGACAGGTTACAACATCAGCCTCCAGGCACGATCCTTCGGGAACCACAAATCCAAGAACTATACGAGAGTATAGGGGCTCTAAGGCCTAAACTAGCTCGTACCTATGGCGAAACAATGAGTAAACATGGTATGTTCTATGTGCGAAGTCCCGCTGTTCCGCTCCATGGCTAATCATCCTCAGACACCCTTCTCGACCTTCATGCCAAGTTATCGACAGTCGTCCGCTACTACGATCGTATGCTTGAAGAACGCCTCTCCAACACATACGCGCAGCACACTCTTGGTAGCTACAACTATCTACCACCCAGCCAGCTTGCTTCGAATGTTTATCCATCCGTCCCGATAAACCTACCTAGGGGGGGTGTAGAGAACTTCTATTTTGGCTCAGAGCCCGTGGAGAATGCCATGCCTCCTAGCCAATATCTCCAAGCGGAGCGCCACGCGTCTGTCGGACGCAGCAACGAGCAGCGCCCGGGTGTGGTTCACTCGCAACATCCTCAATTTAACAACGGGCAAAGTCATTACCAACCACACCAACCACGCACACCACCGCAAGCTGCCCATACTTCTGTTCAGTACCATCCACATTCAGTGCCTCAAGGACAACCTGCACAACCCGGACAAGCTGAGCAGACTGGTCAAAGTGGGCCAGCTGGTTACTACCTCCCTCAGGGAGTGACCAGCCCAGTGGGTCATGACCCTCACCTCGGTACAGGACAGTATGCTCCTGCACCTGAACCATCATATCCTCCGTCGCCGACGATGCGAAGAGACTCTCAGTTCCAAACAGCTCAACCAACTCCACAGTCGAATCACTCCCAACCTGTCCACTTTTCCTCCCCGGATGCGGCTCAGCCTTCTCAGTCGCAACATTCAACCTGTAACACCCAAGAAGGCCCCCCCTTGGGCCATTTCCAGGCCCAGACACAAGCCCAAGAAACCCCCAGCCCTCTACCACCAGACCCAGCGCAGCCTTCCAACCATTACAATTCTTGGCAGCAACCAGAGTCAGGAACGAATCCCCAATACATGCCACCGGCTGGAAACCCCATATATCCAAATTTTGTGCCCATGGCGCCGACCGTGGAGCAATCGTATCTACCCGACCAACAGCAACAAGCAACTTCGCAGCCGGTTAAAGAAACCCCTTTAATCGACATATGAAACTATTTCCTCCTTGTCTGGCTCCTGGTGCGCTCCTGGCGACGGTTGTATTTTTTTACTCACACACGCATGCATGTTGGCCCCCATTTTTGATACCCGATGTGGTTTTTCCGCCCCTCCTCTAACTGCCCACTACGCTTGGTTAACTGAATGTGACGTGATGAGTCCTCTTAACGAACGATAATTAATGTGTTTTTTCAAAACTGTGTCTCTATCCCTGTTGTTATCTTCTTTTTATGTCCATGACTTCTTCCAAGATTTCTTTTTGTTACGGTCTGTCTGTGTGGGAAATTATCTACAGTGTGTTGATGGACATAGAAGAACCTTAGTAGCCCTATTACCTAGTCCGACCCATCGGTTTAAAAGGGTAAAACAACGCTCATAGTTTCTTGAATGTGCATCTTGGAAAATGGTAGATAATCTTAGGCGCCCTTACCACACTAGGTAGCCTTTAACTAAGGTTTAACTAAATTTCCGAGTAGTGTTTAACTGGGCTTAGGCCTATTCTCTCCCCAAACCTGGATACATCCCGTTGATTCCAAGGTTTCGCCGCACCCCACGTGACCTCACCGACTTCTGTATCGGGCTCTCTGTCATCATCGGCGGCTCTTGACCCCCATTGCTTATCCGTCGCAAGTTTCGTATCCCGTACCTTCGTCTCAGCCTGGTGAGTTTCACTGTCTTCCCCTCGCAGTTCAACCCGGCATCGTGTCCTGGTTGTAACCGCTAACTAGGCAGACCATGTGCGCAGATTGGAGCTTCAACTGCGCTCACCAACGGGATAATCGCCTAAATACCAATCAAGCCCTGATCTATCGCGAACTGATCATTTGATTGCTCCCCTCCAGCTCCCTCCAAATCGTGTCGCAGTCTCCTGCAGCCAGTACCATCAAAATTGTTGCTGGTGGCGATATTCATGACACCTGTAGGCTTCGAGAGAAATAGAACGGGTGCTTTGTTGCAGCGAAATAACCGCTGCTGATTCGCTCTCCTAGTCGCCAAAAATGCCGTCACACACCACGTCTTCCCCGACCAAACGTTCAGCCTCGCAGCAAGCGGCGTCGGATTCTTCACTACCTCCTCAATCGCCTCCCACTGAAGCAGGCCCGACGCTTTCGCACAACAAGACATCAACCCACAAACCCCATCGGCCCCATGTGGTTGCTTCGCACCGACAGCATGTGCGCAACCCGTCGCTAAAGAACATAAATAGGCTGCAGAGGCTTGCTGCGCTTCACAACCTCCCAGGAGAAGGTGACACGCTTGTTGCACCTGCGCTTCGACACCAACGCAAAAGATCTGCGCCTGTATCCCCCGCAACGAGTCCTCGCGTCGGCCATCATCACGTTCGTTGGAATGGCTCAAGCGTTTCGCTGACTGGCCAAGGGGTAAATCCGGCGATAAGGAAAAACCTATCCACGCCCGTATTGAGAAACACGTCCGGGATTCTCGCTAAGAAACCGTCTACGATGAACAAAACTGTAACAGTTGCTAGAGCAGGGCAGAAAAAGACAGTGGGTTTCGAGCTTGTTGCTTCGGACGACGACGACGAGTGGGAAGACAATAACAGTTCTTATTCTCCAGAAAGCACTAGACGGAATTCCGTGGTTACTGCCAAAATGAGCGCGGACAGTAGCCCTCATTCTACTCTCCTGGCGACAAAGTCGCCTTTAGCCCAAGCAAGCAGTGGCCTTGAAGGCGAGGCCAAACAGCAGGCTACGGAACTCGCTAATGGCTCTGGCACTGGAGCTTCCCAAGGACAACATACGCGCCCCTTTGAGCAGGACGATATTGCTTCTCGTCTTCTTCACCAACCACACGCATCCAAAGCTCCACCCGCCATATCATCCGTCTCAGTAACTGCAACGCCAGCAGCTGTGGAACGAAGCCCGCGCCCTCCGTCCTTTCCAACCCTTCCTTCGGGCCGTGTCCGCGATTCCGATCAAGCTGGCCAATGGTCTACTGTGGGGAGTTCCTCAATAAGCAATCCACATGGAACATCGTCCTCTATCGAAGGAGGCGTATCCAGATTCCTAATAAACAACCCCGGTTCACAATCTGGAGCCTTCACTGATTCTGAACCCCCGTCATCATTCCTACCACACTACAACCCTAATACACCGCCGTCTCCGGAGACGTACAGTGCGAAACGCCCTACCTCTCGCGGCCGCCAACAAGAGCCTCCATCACGTACACAGCAAAAGTTATGGCTACAGCGAACAGCAGTTCTTACAACCTCCCCACCTGACCCTTCTATGTCGGGACCGTCTCCGACAGTACCCCCATCTTCGATGGAGCCCGTCTTCATGACGGCTGCTCAGTCTCGGCCAGGTTCTAGAGACCACGCAAGAGACGGCCGCAGGGCATTGCTAGGAATAGGTGGAACAGCAGGCGTAAATCCTGAGAGCGAAGCTAAACGTGCCCGCAAGATCTACGATAAATCCACAACAGAGTACTCAGTAGTCCGTCGTTTCAGATCGCCTATCGCAGAAAGTCTGCTCAGGCTCGACAAAATTGCAGGACCAGAAGCGAAATCCAACAATGCCCCTCAAAGCCAGGCAGGCGGACAAAATCCCGTCATCTCTAATGGCGCCCTTTCCCGCCCACCTTCATCGCGGAATCTCGATTCCGATCCCGCCGTCAACCACCAGTTCTTAACCAAGCTACCCAAGTCGTCCAGCCAGGTCCGATTCAGGACTTCTGAAGATACAGTCCACGTCAACTATTCCGACGAGCCAGCTGAGCGATTGGATGTGGAACATCAGCAGCAACAACGGCCTAATTCGGTTGCGGTTGTTTTTGCTGATGGAAATGTGTATGACGAACAGATAGATGATTCAGATGGCGCTGGTGGTGGTGCGCATACCCCATATCAACCCAACGAAGCGGAGCTCATGATTAGGCGGATATGGGATAGCCGCGAAGTAGCTGTTGCGGGTGATTGATTATTTTGATGGGCTCGACGAGTTTTAGTTTATATACATGTACCTTCTCTCTCGTGATCTTACTTTTTACTCCTCACTGACGATTTGTATGCTGTACAAAGCATGAGGCCATAATGGCCATTATCTGTACAACAATCATCACCATACCATATCCTCTTTCCGTTGACGATACGATTATTTTGTTTAGTGCATTTTTTTTGTATTCTCTGTTATATCTTGATTGGCATGGAAGATTCATATCGCATCACGGAAAGCGTACCTCCGGTTTCACCATGTACTTTATTTCATTTATTTATTTAATTCAATTTCTTTCTTTCTTTCTTTTTTTTTTTTTTTTTTTTTTTTTTTTTTTTTTTTTTTTTTTTTTTTCTCAATTACTGGCATTTCTCACATCAGCGGTATTTTTTTTACCCTACTGCGCCATGTGCGTTGATCTTTTTATTATTCTCTGCTTCATCTTGCTTAAGCATTTTTATTTAGATGTTCGATAGTTAATTAGAGGCAGTTGAGCAGTTCTTAATAGGATGATTCTACCAGGTGGACTGTAAACGGGGATTTCATTTTATACACGCTTAACCCCCAGAAAATGTCAAGAATCAAGGTACGGAGCATTGTTCACACGATTATCCTGACCGGATCTATGAATTTTAAGAGAAACCCTCTTCAAGGGAACTATTGCCTATGTTCATTTTATACATCCATATCCCTACGTGAATGCATGTCTACAAGTAAAGATAATACGAATCATCATTTATCTCGAAGTCCCAAATCGAGGTTGTTTATACTCCGTTAGTTACCGTACTTACGTCTCCATTCGTTTATCCGTTCAACATTGGAACATCTGCACCCTGCAAGCAAATTCGCTGGTGGCGTCGCATCGGCAAAAGCAAGCCCCGAGCCCCTGAGCGCAAGTTCATCTCGCTTTGGTAGACGGGGTCGGTCTCAGAAGGATGAGCCGGACGTTTAGGTTACGCTGGCTAGCGCTGGTTTGGAGGCTCTGCTGCCTGATCTGCAGCGAATGAACCGGCTTTTTCGCGCCCAGAGGTGATCCTCTTTCGTCGCGGCGTCGGAGGCGCAAAGACAGTGGATACATGAATCTAGACTTGACGCATGCGATGTTTCTGGGGCGCGAGGGGGGCCCTAGCACCATGCCCCCCTTGGTATAAAAGCCAGCGTCGCGTTTTCTACGACATCTTGCGGCCCTGTTGTGATGTATGTACTGATAATATGCTTAACAAAAGTTTTCTGGCTCGGGAAACTGCTTTACAATTGCTGACCAGGACTCGTACAGTTTTATTGCAGTCGTTGCTTTGGCGGGGGAAACGGCTTGCAACATTTTTCTGCGCAAACCATTTACTTGCCCTGCAGTCCCGCTGATTTTGTAGCATCGGCCCTGCTCTCATCTCTCAAGATACCCATTCAATTTTATTTCCCTTTCTCTCTACTCCGTAGAGGCATGGGTCTTCCGAATGCCACACGCCCTTACAGGGACGATGCGCCCCTCCCCTCTTCTGCTTCCGCTCACTCTCTCCAGCCATATCAGGACTTGGAGCCGGAAGATAGCCCCCCAGCCTACATGGAAGAAGACGCTGCAGCCGTCGTTCAGCCTGTCTCTATCATCACAGGACCCAACGATCTCTCCTCGGTAACCCGCCTAGTGAGCTATTACGATATCCCGGGCGGGCGAGTAATATCCTCTTCACGCGCCAAGAAGACCTACACGGTGACTCTGGCACCAGAACTCTCTCAGGACCCCGAAGCACTTAGTACGCTGGTTAAATGTCAGGTCCAACGCCCGCCCATGCCCGTGATCGTTGTCAAGGGCACGCATACGGTGACGAGGAAAAATTCAGGGTCGAATAAAGGGGGATCCAATAAGGAGACGGTTGTGGATTTCGATTTTCGCATAAACTGTATCAATTCTGTCCTGCCGGATGTTTTTACCTCCGGGAATCGGTCTCGGTTTGTGGAGATTGTTCAGGATCAGGATGGGAGAAAGGCCTATAGGGGCGGGAGGTTTAAAAGTAAGGGTGCTAATAAGAAGAGAGGGAGTTCCGGTGCCAATCCAGGTCCGGATCTTGAGGAGGCTCAGGGGTTGACGGCCGACAGTGGCGGACCCGATCTGAAGGAGTGGTGCAGGCGGTTCTGCGAGGATAAGTCGGGTGTTAAGTCGTGAGTTTTCACTGCCCCTTATTTTCTCTTCAATTGCATGGGAGATACGTGCACACAGAGGCTACGGGGGTATACAGAGTGGCGATATACATAATGCCCCAAAAACTAAAACAACCCTCTCCTCCCTTTCCAGCTTCACCTTCCACCGCACCTTCGAAGCCTGGAACTACACCGCCATCCAAAAAGGCATCACAACCCTAATCCGCTCCCTCAACTACCGCGGCCGCATCTCCATAGAACTCCACACCCACAACGCCCACTTAACCGTCTACTCCCCCTCCCTCATCAACAAACTGCGTATAAACACCTTCGTCTGGTGGGCTTGCATCATCCTCCAACTCTGGATCCTCACCTGGCCCCTCCTCATACTGCTGGAGAAGCGCTACGAACCCGTCACGGCCACCTGGTACGCCTGGTACAACGAGCAACACGCGTGCGGCCTTAGCGAGGCGATGTGGTTAAATGTTTTCACGCCGGTTATTAAGCGATCGGTGCTGGCGCGGGCGAAGGATGGCGAGATGGTAGGGCTCGAGGAGGCACAGGGGGCTGTGTATGAGGCGGAGAGAGTGGCCCGTGGTGAAGTTGGGAGTACGGAGTCGGAGTCGGAGAGGGAGAGGAGGGAGAGGATGCAGAGGGGCCAGGGGAGTTGGACAGATTCTTTGGTGGGAGTGGTGAGGGGGGTGGCGGAGGTAGGGAGGGAGTATAACCAGGCTGTTGGGTGGGGTGGAGATTGCTGATTGCTCAAGGTTTACTATAACCGTTCCGCTTTCTTCGTGATCGTTATGCGGATTGGCTGCTACCTAGGCATGTGTAGGTGGATATATTCTCATATTGTAATCATCTGATATTTATTACGTGGTCCATATTTGTGGTATATATGCATTAAGTATTTTCGATTTATCTGCGTTGAGGGGGACTTGTTAAGTGTAACTATCTGATCCTACATATTCAAATGCAAGCGATAAGGCAACTAAACAAGACAAGATGTTCATTTAATGCATCCGGATACATTCGAGGATATTCCCTTTTATCTATAAATGTGATGATATACCTTCGCTACTAAAGAATCAATTAGCAATATAACTTTTTGCCCGTGTCTCCTTTCGCAAGCAAGCTCTCTATATATAGTTAAAGATGATCCGCAGTAAGAATATATACATGAAGGAAAATTGTTAAAGGGTGAAAAAATATACTATACACAACAAGACACACACCAAGAATTGAAGCGAGGTTAACGAAAACAAACATCGAGGAATAAAAATAAAAAAAGCAAAAGTCTCCTTAAGAATATTTACGACGTTGACACTGCTCTCTCCTTCCCTTTCCCACGGAGCCCAATACCACCACCACCACCTCCTCCTCCTCCTCCTCCCGCCGCTCCTCTCCCCCGCGATTGGCCATGGCCATGTTGTCCACGACCCCCTCCCCTCCCTCGATCCGAAACGACCCTCCGTTTATTTCCATCCATAGCAGCATGCAGCGGTTGCAGTTGAGAAGTAGCGTTCCCTTCGCCGTTAGCCGTCGCCGCTATAACGTTGGAAATATTCCCCACAGCACCCCCACCGCCACGCCTTCGTCCCCGATCAGCGGGACCCTGGCCACTGGTTGTCGCAGGCCCATGTGCAGATCCACCTCTCCCTCTATTCACTTTCCCCCTCCCCGCTCCCGCTCCCACTCCAGGTCTTCTGGCCGCAGCCTCCGCCTTCTCCGCCTCCTCCCTCACCCTCCTACTCTCCTGATCCCACCATTCCTGAAACTCCTGCTCGAGCTGGATGTCCTGCAACTTATGCTTGGCGGTGGCCGCTTCGCGGATCACGTCCTTCTCGATCTGCTGCTGTTCGAGGATGTAGGCTAGGGAGAACTGGGTGGAGGAAGGCGAGGGGCTGGAGTAGTTGTACAATTGCTGTTGTTGCTGAGGGTCGGATTTGATACGGGGGATGGTAGCGTATGGCTGGGACCGTGAGTTCGGCTGAATTGGAGTTGTTGTCGTTGGAGTGGCCGATTGGGTCTGTCGTGCGAATGAATCCGCCTTCATGATAGGTAGCGGGGATGCATTTGGTGTGGAAGGTGGTATTCGGGCTTCTTGTGCGTGTTGTTGCTTCTGTTGAGCGGGGTTGGGCGTGGGCTTGGAAGTAGGAGTGTGATTTTGCGGTGAAGGCACACCGGCGACAGTTTGGCGCAATGTCATGGGCGCCTTAGATGCGGTGCGAACAGGCGTCGAGACATCCCTTGCCGACTGAGCTTCCGCTCGCGCAGTTGCATGTATTGGAAATGGTTTACTGGCGACGTTCTGCCACGGCGATGCTGATTTTGATTTAGATGCCTCTTGCTGTTCTGTTAGTTCCCGGGCTTGCTGTTGCTGAAGCTTTTTACGCTCTTTCTGCGAGAGTTTTGACGGCGTAAGTTTGGTTGCTGGTGTATCCCTGCGGGGCGACATGTTTAAGCCTGTGCTGGATGGATGAGACCCTAAAGTTTCCGCCATGATATCCTTTAGACCTGTTTTAGTATTGGAAGGCCCAACAGAACTCCATGGAGCACCAGCGTGCTCTCGTTCGTGGGATTTGGCCAGAGGAGTGGTAGACAACTCAACGCGAGCTTTTGATCCCGCGTTTTGCTGTTTCCCCTCCACCTGCAAACACCGTCCCCTGACATCTACTGAATCAACCTGGTTCTGAGATTGCTTGGAAATACCAAGCCCAGCTATCTGTTTGCCCCCAGCTTGACCAGAAGGAAGGAGGTGATCATCTTCCATATGGAAAATCAAGTCACCCATTGACTGTTTCGGCTTCAAGGCAGGACTTGTTTCCCCAGCCAACTCCGCCGCCCTGAGAATAGGCTCAGACAGCCGACTTTTGAGGTGAAGGGGAGACATAACACCCGCCTTCTCTTTATCAGTGGCGCTCGTGCGGAATTTATTCTGCCGCAACTCATCTTCATGTAAGCGTGAGCGAAGCCTCATTGAGTCTATCCGGCGCTGTCTATCACGTTCTAGGAGGGGAACAATTTCCGGATATCTCTCTGCGACGAAGCCTTCTGAATTCCGCCCTCTAGAAACCGGATGGCATGTCAGCTGGTTTGCGCGACAGACATCGTCGAGTTCGCAGAATAGATCATCGTCTAGGTCATCAAGAAGCCTGTATCGAAGAAATTAGCTAGGGAATAACCACCACAGCATGAAAAATTCCGAATATGAGTGAAAGCATTGCATACCTATTTTCCAACATAGCTTCAAGATTTAGACAGATGTACTCGAGCGCGGCCTGCTTGAACGCGGTCACCGAACACGGTGCAACAGCATTTAGAAAATGGCACACATTCCGATTATTAACTACACGGAATTAGCCTATTGGGTTGTTCCTCATCAAATCCCAAGGAAAGTGCCATACCAAACCGTCCCAGTAGCTTCTGGCAAATCTGTGCCAGTCTATCCAACATCAACTCGTTCGCAACAGCCATAACATCAATGACCAGGTCAATCAGATCCTCCAATTCATCGAACTTCACGTCTTCAAAAAGTTCATCATCCGTATCCGCATATATATGACGCAATACAAACTCGAAAATGTCGCGACGGATGTGCTTCAAATCGATGCGAAGAGGATCGACACCAGAATCCGGGGAACCCCCACGTCTTCGAGTGAGCCAACGACCACCAGCTCTCCCGTAGAACAACCCACTGAAAAAAGGGCAGCGGGCGCATAAAATTTGGCTGTGAGCGTTTACATCGCCACCGTCAAGTTCAATTACCACATCGCTACTTCCAAAGAAGTTGGGATCCTCGTACGCCCGTTCCATGTCCAGGTGCAAACGCTTGTGAGGCAGGGTCATTAATCTTACCGCACGCTCAAGATCACGAAGTTCAAGCGCCGTTGCTAGTTTGAGAACCTCGATTCGAACCCGTTTGTACTGCGTCGCATGTTTGGGCGAGTGTCGAGCCAGAGTCCATACATCGTAGAGCTGGTCTGCATACATATACAGCACCAGGTTAAATATGGACAGGAAGTCGACGTCACTAAACTTGATCGAAACCTGGCCGTTCTTATCGTACTCGACGCCGAACACGTCTGGAACGGAATAATAATACGACTTATGGAATTCAGCCAAAGCCCTTCTCAAAACGGGGCTACGGCCAGCCAGAATAAACCCATGGACCGGAATCCGTACATCCGAAGCCGTTGTCGACACCAATACAATTGGTTGAAAGTCATCGGGGCGAGAAACGTCTTCCAATGTTGATTCGATTTCCGACTCAAGGTCGTAGGGCTTGATAGGCGTGTTCCCTATGACCACGTCCATCGACATTGACGAGTAATCACCAGGATCCCCATCCCTCAATATACTTTTAAACGCCAGGAGCGGCCAGAAGTCCTCCCATATAGAGCGATCATCAATCATTATTTGCTCCCTAGCCACGTCGCAGCCGCGCTGAGCAACCGCGTATGCCCCGAAAGCATTACTCCGAACAGCTACAACGCGCGAGAGGCCCGGAATGCGGACGAATTTGTAGTCCTTCAAGCGAGCATCTCCTGTCGTTTGGCGGCCAGCGTCGTTGATCTTGGCACGTTTTTCTTTTCTCCAGGCAGAGCCGGACTCGGTGCATATGATGATGGATCCATCTTGGCCAACGTCAACGTCCCGGACAGCCATGTGGGACTTTTTGATAGACCACACGCGAGACGGCTGGGGCAACGAATTTCGGATCTTGGCTGGGTTGGTTGTGGATGATGCTGTCGAGCTAGTATCCGCCTTGCGGTTAACATGAACGGTATAGACTTCACCAAAAGTGGACATCGCGCATATCGTATTGCCGCCAGATGTGATTTTGGAAATGTGGTTGGTTGACAGGCCGTATCTCGTTGACATGAAGCTGTCTCGGATGAAGGTCGAGGCACCATCAAGGGGGAAAGCTATTTTAGAATAGCCATAATGGGTAAAGACCCAAACTTCGTGGTTTTCGAGCAAACAGGTCGTGGCTCGATCGATTGCTGAAACCATAGAAATGGGTGAACTGAATAGCGACGCGCCAACTCTGCGGGGAATCGTTTGCGTCTCGAGAGAACGAGCATCAGCATCGATAAAGCCCAATTGACCTTCATTCTTACCGAACGTGTATAAACCTGTGGGTGTAAATACAACCGAGTGGATAGAGGAAGCGGCTGCGCCGATGATAGCTTCTTTCTTGAAAGGGTTAAAGATTTGCCGCGGAGTGGTTTGGATGGGCACGTCGTCCTTGTGATTGGTCTTGGGAAGTGCGTATCCCAGTTGACCATATTTATTGCTTCCCCAGCTGAACACTTCACCCTGTTCCGTGATGGCGATGGAATGGTCCTGGCCCAAAGCCAAGGAAACGACCTTCTTTCCAGCAAGACCGCCACCCTCGATACAAACAAAGCTAAACCTAGTACCTTCGTCACCAGTTCCCAGCCTTCCCCCAGAGCCAAACCCGCACATAAACAGATTCGACTCCGGGTCGTTCGTGATGATTCCGGTGTGTAATTTTGACATTACAATTTGTTGATAGATAATGGGACGGGATCGTACCAGAGTAGGAATCTCGGCGGTAGAATCGATATTAGGCTCTTCAACATCGTGATCCGACCCTCTACGGGCAGCACGAATTACTGCGTGTTCACGATTGAACCTGTATAGCAGATGATCTGGGCGAGTGAGGCCGATACGCTCCGGGAATTGGCGGTCATCCTCATCACCCAGCCCAAGATTAAGATTTTTGTTGCTACCAAAAGTAAATACCTCATCGCCAAGTATGTTAACCAAAGGCTTTATGTTGCCTTTGACCGTCTCGTGAGCGACTTCGGCTTCGGACAAGATTGAAGAATCAGTTGAGACGGAGTCATCTCCATCTAGCGAAGACTCATATCCCGAAGCCTTGTTGATATCGCGAGGCAAAATAGTGGCTCCAAAGACGTCGAAGGGACTATTCCCCTCGCGGTCTTTTATCTTGATCAGGCCACCAGATGGATGAGGGACTCCTCCAGGTGTCCTAAAATCAGTAGCATCGTGAAAATCCCTCGCAAGCAGCGCTTGCGCAATGGTCACATTCCCGGCATA